CAAACAGTGTTTTTGTGCTTTTTGTAATCTTGTATCTGGTGTAGTTTCCATGGAAATTCATAGGAGGCATTGTTTTCAAAGCAACCTACATACTATATATATATATATGTATATACAGTTATATATACAGTGCATCAGATATTAAGTGGCAGACCCCAGCATGCTGCGAGCACTAGTTGTGCCAAAGCAGTAACTTTTAGCAGACTGCATGTGAAATCATTTTTTCCTGTCTGCAAACCACTGCAGCAGATCTTTAACACTATCAAATTTAATATGCTAATTACAGGGTGTAATTTATTCTTTCCTTCAGCTCAATTTACGTCACGACTGTTCACATAAAATACCAATCTGGATCTTTTAGCAATTTATCTCAAATCTATAATAAATACTTAAAATTAGGTCATGTTCTGTGGAATGGAGTTTTATACAGACTTTTAATTTAGTATTCTAATGCAACAGTAAAACTCGTTTATTTGTTCAGATAATTTCAAGAGAAGGTCCTCTGTGGTTTACATGAAAAAAATTATTTTACCTCCTTCCATTTGCTATGTGCATAAAGGAGATTCAGTTTGCAAATTCTTAAAGAGGAAACAAAGACATGCCTGACTGAGATACAACGCCTGCTGGGCTCTGGGCTCTCGCTAGTTTGGTAACCTTTGTTCATTTGTATCATTAACAGAACAGTTTAAAAAAATCTGAGCAGGGTCTACGTAATGAAAGCAAAGAAATTTTTACGAATCAAAGTATTTTAAGAACACACATCCAGAAAGGAAAATTAAAAACAGAAACAACAAACACTACAAAGCTGCACCTATTTTTCTCACTGTATTCAAATGTCAGAACAATTTATGCTAAAAATATAGTATGTGGTTTTGGTTTTATGCTTTATTAAGCAAGCTGTGATTACCTCTTCCCAATATTGAATAATGAACACGCTGTTGTGGGCGCTGTGGTTTCCATCGCAAGGCTGTTGCCCTTGCTGGAGCTACACGCACAGCGATGCACACAGCCGGAAGCTGCAGGATCCCATGTGGCATTTCCCCAACGGAGGTTGCAGTCTCCCATTACTGTGCTTGGGGATTTTCTTTCCTTGTCAGCTCAGGGCTCAGCACGTGGCAGGGTGGCCCAGGGAGGCAGGTGGGATGCATGGCCCTGGGGGAGCGGGGCAGCCTGGAGGGAGCAGCTCTGCTTCTCTGCAGAGCATCCCTGCACTGCTGCCTCAGTGGTTGCAAGTCCACAATACCTTTAAATCAGTTTATGCCATCTGAGAATGGGTCTGGTCAAAAACCAGTTGGTAGTGGGAATATGTGGCAAAAATGTGGCAAAAGTGGAACTTATGAATTAAATTCCCAATTCAGCTCACTATCCATCAGTGCTGGGACTTGAGAAGAGGGCATAGCAGCATCTTTCTATGGCAGTTCACAAATACATCAGTTTAAAGCAACTGGGAAACAGGCTTCTGAGAAGGAGTGGAGCACACGGTAAGTCCAGGTGTGCTGTTGTTGGGGCAGACTGGAATGGGAGCAGCTGAGAGTGTTTTGGTGTTAGGGGCAGAGTAGTACCCACAGGGGCAAAGGCCCATCTCCGTGGGTTTGTTAATGGTTCTGAGCTGTTGCTGCTGCCGTCTGGAACCAAGACCTGGCAGCTCCAGCCACCGCAGCTGGGCTGCACTGATAAATAGTGGAGATTCTTAACCTTATGTATGAAACATGCAAATGTGAGTGCAGCTCAGTATTTAAGTTGTGGTGTTTTGAATGCCTTACATGACAAGCTTTGTAAAAGATGCTTGATTTGGCACCAGGAATAGCAGAACTAAAGTGTACTGTTAAATCTTTGTTATTGAACAAATCAGGCCATCTTCGTGTAACTTTTTATTTGAAGGTAATAACGCTGCCGCGTACCATATTAAGTGGACATAAAAAGTAGTTCTCTCTTTGAATATGGAAAAGATGAAGCAAACTTCTCATTGACTTGCTGTTCACATTTTGTGTTCAAGATTGGCTCTTACTTTCTCACAGCAGTTACGCTTTTTGCAATATAGCTCTGAGTCCTGTTCTGCTGACATGAAATGTGCTGGGCTCATCTGAACTTTGTGCTCACTGAGCTGTCCTGTGAACAAGTTTTTAAGGAGATTTGACAAAGTACATGGCTATGTAGCTCTTCTAATGACACATTGCTTGAGGTCAGTTTAGCAATCAGTATTTCTCATCTAAACCTGTCTGTCCACTGCCACTAATAGTGTAACCAATAAATAAGTAAATAAATAAAAGGCTATGTGAGCACCATTAAAATAGAAACAGGGAATGGAGGAAAACCTTGGTTTGGTTTGTTTTTATTTTGGTGTAGGTTTTTTTTTTGTTTGTTTTATAAGAATTCTATCTGTGCTAATGGCACTGTCTTCAAACCTTTTAGAGATTGTGGCCTTGATGCTATTTCTTTGTTTTGTTTTTTTAAAGCCATATTAATATCTAGGACTAATTGTGCAAGAGAGAAATCACCTGCCAGGAGCCAGAATTTTAGAGGCTCAAGAACGTTTCTATGTATCTCTCACAGTAGCAGTATGTACTTAACATAATGAGAGCAGAATATGTAGCTGTGAAAACTGAGGTCTGATATGATTGCTGTGATAATGATTTAGTTTGGCAGGTTTGAGACTGTTGGCATCATGCAGATGAGATGCCAGTGGGAGTTAGAAGAGATCCAAGTACATACAGCATCATATATACAGAACAAGGCAACCCACCTACTTATTCTCTTAAACAGCTTCTTTTCCATCTTTTGTTTTTAAGCACATTCACTAAATCATAATGGATTCAGATCAAATTTGAGTGTGTAAACACCTGTTTGCTCTTGCCTCTTCTGGGACATCTCTTTTTATCCCCCCACTGACTTGGGAAGGACTAAGGGAGCCATAATTTCCTTCAGCAGTTTTCTGATGCAGTAAATGAGGATGAAGTGCTTGGAAGTGATACATCCAAAGACTATTTTTTATCATTCTTTTTTCAATTTTGTATTTGTCTGTAGTTGTTTCATTTACTTCAAGATCTTAGACTTGAGGGAAGCTTAAATTTAGAGCATTACTACATCTGTCTTCTACAGAGACGTTAATTCACTGTCATTTTTATCTTTTTCCTTTTATTGTACCTTACTAAATAGATCTCAATTAAATTCCTAGCTTGCATCAGCACTTTTACTGTGCTGAAAAATTACCTTTAATCTTCGATGATCCTTATGGACATTTTATGTATTCTTAGTCTATTCTATATTTAAAACTTTACATTAATTAAAGTTACCACTGGCATGCTAATTAGTAAACTTTGCGATGAAAAGACCTGCTTACTAGGTGGATTTCCTCAATTACATTTCATGTTTTCCATGACTCGAATCAAGACTGTGAAATTCACTCCAGGTGATCAGACTGATAGTAAGCAGCCCACACTCAAAATTTTGACCTGTAATCTGGTGCTGTATACTGGCACTTCATGGACTCAGTGGTCAAGCAGTTTCCTTTCCCATTTGACTTTTATTGAAAGTAAACTGACAGGTTCCCTGAGCTTTCATTCTATAATGGATTATTTGGAGAAACATTTTCTGCTTGTTACCACAGGGATAACCAAGGCTGGACTTGGAAATAAAAGCAGGAGGATCTGATTTATCATCATTAAAAAATGTTGTTGAGAATGCAAAATCAAACTCTTCCTTAGGGGAAACTGAACACTGCTTAGTACAGTTTGCAAGCTGGTAAAGACATCCCCATACATCCACTTAGTCATCATCTTGGCATGAGTAAAAGTGGCAGTAAAATAGAGGGGAGGGAACTCATTCAATATTTTAATAAAAGAAAGATTAACTGCAAATATTAAACAGATGGCATGCAAATATCAAATACAACATGCTTTTTAAATATAAACTTTTTGAAAATAGAGAGCCTTCCTTCAGTGAAACTGTTGTTAACTGTATGAAATTTGTTTTGGAAAAAAGATGAAAAGAATTGTTCTTTTCTGTAACTAAGCCAATGCAATTTTCATTTGCTTCACAATTCAGTCTTCTATGTGATGCTTCCAAACCTCATTGACTGACTGGGATGCTTTAGGCATAGTATGTACATAATACTGAAATGAATTCTGTCCCTAGTGCTTAAAAGGATTTTTAAAAGTCAGCTCCTTGCATTGAGCTAAGAACATAGTGAAGCGTTTCCATGTCTTGTCCTCCAAGCTAGAGGTAGAGACCTTCATTTATTTTTCAGAGTTATTATCTGAGAGGGAGAATAGCTGGCAAAAAAAGGAACAGGCCTGTGCACCAGTCAGAACTGATCCAAATTTAGCAAGCAACCTTACCTACCATTTGTTTATATTTTGTTTGACTTTCATACAGTCCCACTTTATATGCTTGTTGTCATTCAATGCGTTCTCCCTTTTTGTTGTTGGAAACATTTAGTCTTTGTACAAATATCAATATTGTCATCCAGCAAGACTGTACATTGCTTGCTGCTCTTTAGTCTTTGTTTTGAGGAAGAAGTTCAGTGAGTAAAATTAACATGCAGTACTGATGAATGTTCATCCTTTAAAATATACACACTGTTGAAATTAATAATGGTCAATCAATTCATGTGGTGAAGCTAATTTTGTTTAAGTGCTCGTTAGATTTTTTCTTATACTACATTCTGTTGTGGCAGGAAGAGATCTTGGTTCAATTCAGTTTGAAACTTTCAATGTGAGTCTGAGTTAATTATTTAAAAGTATTAGAGCTGAAATCTTTGTACTTACCACCTGGATCTAAGTGGGGAATTCACTGGGTAAAAGACAAACAAAAAAGACCACCATGCTTGCTAGCACTAGGGGCATGTTTCAAAGGAGCCTGTTGCTTAATCTGACGCCAGACATCCATAAGTTTTGTTCCCTTTCAGCCAAGTACCATTTAGAGTTTTCTGCCTCATTGTTCTGTTCATTTAGATTACAACACCTTATTTCACTTGATTGCATTTTCCTTTTTCCCCTCAGAACTATGGTTTGGAGACTGAAAACCTGAGAACTCTCTCTCACAAGCTGAATGCCTCGGCCAAAAATCTTCAGAATTTTATAACGGGTAGAAGGAGGAGTGGCCATTATGATGGCAGGGCCTCCAGACGACTGCCAAATGATTTTCTTACCTCTGTAGTTGACCTGATTGGTGCTGCCAAGAACTTACTAGCCTGGCTGGACAGGTAATTTACTTTTTCTTGACCTTGTACTGAATATGAATATGAATATGAGAATATGAAGATAAATGATAGTACTTAATTTGAAAAGGAATCATAGAATCATAATAGAATCGCAAAATAGCTTGGATCATCTAGTTCCAATCCTCTCGCCACAGGCAGGATTGCCAACCTCCAGATTGGTCTACTAACTAACCTACTACTCCAGGTTGCCCAGGCCCCCATACAAACTGGCCTTGAACACCTCCAGGGATGGGACATCCATAACTGCTGTGGACAGACTGTTCCAGCACCTCGCTACTGAGTGAAAAATTTCACCCTGACATCTAATCTAAAACTCCCCTGTTTTAGTTTAAAACTATTTCACCTGGTTCTATCACTGTCTCAAATTAAAAAATCTAGATAAATGTAGTTAAAATTTTAACTGTAGCAAGACAGAAACCCAAAACATACAATTGCAGCATGGAATTTCAATTGTTTCCATTTTTCTGGAGTTATAGCTGTGGAGATCTGGAATCTGAATGCTCTTCAACATATAAATGGCACCTTAGAAGTCATGGTGAGAGTGAATAACCCTCCTTTATGAGATTTGTATAATCCTGGTGACATCTTCCTAAACTAATGCCAGCATTCATATTCTCTTGGGCTATGACCTTGTCAGTTCTTATGCATTCAGATGGGGTCAGATTTGGTTAGAACGTGGAAAGCCTGCAGAAAATCCCAGTTCACAGGAAGCTATTACTAAGGAAACATTATTTTCCTCTCCAAATTAAGGTGCTAACTTCTGCAGAAGAGTGTTGTCATACTAGTAATGCTTTTTTAATGAACCATACAAATGAAATTTTGACTGCTTACAATTATTTGGAAGCTCATGTTTCACTGACATTAAGAATGATAACTTCTAAGGTTCTAGCCAAAATTCACTTCCTTCCAGCCAACATTGTTTCTTGTTTCATAGTCATATTTTACAAAAGTTATTTGGCTTGCTGCTGGAGATTGTCGTGATTAGGTGATTCATAATTTTGTGGTGTACAACCGGTCTCTGTATTGTATACATCTTCTAAATGCCATTGAAGACTCCAAAAAAAACAGTAGAACTGTGCTATTGAAAAGTATATTCATTATTCTAGGAGTCTTTTTTGTTGATTAAACCAGAGAATAAGTAGCTGACCTGATTATACTTGCCTTTATGAAAATGAATTTACTAATCATAAGTACTGTGAGATATCATTAATATCACATAAGTCTATTCTTCCTTTCTCACAGGTCTCCATTTGTCAGTGTGACAGAATACTCACTGCTGAAAAACAACATTGTTCAACTGTGCCTGGAACTAACAACCATTGTACAACAGGTAGGAGTGGTTGTCTTCCAGTCTTTCCAAGTACTTATAGTTGCTCAAAAATCATAATAGTAAAAACATTGCTAAGCTTTTACTTGATCAGAAAAAAAAATATTTTTGCCTATTACCTTTCTGTTCCTTCCATATTTTCTTTTGGTGGGAGTGATGGGAAGATTTCAGATTTTGGCTATAATCATGTCTTTGGACAGATAAAAAAAAATAGTGTGCAGTTAAAAATAATTCACTTATCTTTTGAGTGGACAATTTCATGTTAAGTTATTTGCTGCCATAGAAGAACAATGCCAGTCAGAAACAGGTTAAATGCTAAAAAAAAATTGTTAGAGATTCAAGTGTGTTTAATGAAAAATATTTCAGGGACAAGTTCTTTCTTATATCAGGATGCAGCTGTACTACATCTTCTTCACTCAAAAAAGTGCCTGTTACATAAAAGTTGTTTGTAATTGACACTGAACTAGTGAAATGTGAAGCAAATAAGGGTAGCAGTATTTTCATTACTAATCTGTAATGTAGTACAATCCACAGGTACATCAAATACTTTCATCTGGTTCTGTAGCTCTACATATTATACAAACAGTAATAGTCACTATTGTTATTTTCACTGTCTGCCCCTGAAATAGAGGAAGTCACACAAGTACAGAAAGACTGAGTGTAAGTTAGTAGAACTCACTTAAGAGGCTTTCTGAAGTAGCAATATTCTGTAAAATCTTTTCCTAATATTGTTACTTGCATAAAAAAAGCAAAAAATCAAGTATCTATCAGATTTTGCATTTGCACAGTGTAGCCAAGGCTCAGACACATGTCTTTTACGCTATTAGCCTTAATTTCTAATACTCAACTTTTTTTCCTTTTGAGAATTGTTTACCTTCATGCAATATTGCAGTAGAAAACAAACAATCCTTTTTCTCTCTTCTTCGTTTATAAATTCCTATGTCGACATTTAATTATTAAAGTATCTTTATTAAGCTTTTTTTAGTGTTTATAATGCTAGGCTATTTTTGATTTACAGACTAAGCAAAATGAACTTCTCTGCAGTACAAAATTTTGGATTCTGATTCCCCTTGTGAGAGGTAGACTGTGTTTCTGCAGTGGAAATTTCCAGTATTTCTGTATGTAGCATAGGATAAGTTGCCTTTCACAAAGAAAGTTGCTGAACAGAGTAAAGTTGAGACCTAGGTAAAATTGGCACCGGCACTTGATAAGGTAATTACATAGCGTAGGGGAGAGTCTGGTGCAGGACAGAATTGGTGTGCAGATAGTTGAAAATACTGTTCTCTTATCGCCATAAAGAGTACAGGACATACCCAAAGGCAGGGGGTTGGTAACAGACATTGATGCTCAACCAATGAGTGCCAGGAGAGGCTTTACCTGTGTTGGACCCAGGGTAAAATGGAGGAGATTTCACTGAAGAGTTGTGCAATTTCTCCTGTCAGTAGATGTGTGTGCCCATTATTGCAATAGTGAATAAAATGCCCTTCACAGAGATCTTTGCCTGATTAGAAATTTTTTATCTTGAGTGTGTTTCTCACACCCTCCTCAGCTGATATGGACTTTTTTGGTGTGAGTTTAATTTTTCCCCGTGGTCTAGGTGAAAGTAAGAGAATTTTGAATTGCGGTCTCCATTTCTTCTTTTGGCTGCTTTTGGCAAATGAAATTCACTTCTCTGCCAGTAATAGGTTGGGGTTTTGTTTTATTTCTTCATTTCTTCAATACCACTTCATTCCAAAAGCTGTCTTCATCCTGACAACTTAAAAACAATATATCTTAGAGAACAGTCTCCAGGAAAATTCACAATGAAAAATGTTTAGTTCATTTGTAAGGTTAGTTACAAATCAAGACCAGTCTTGTCTTTTTCTTACCTTATTTTTAGATCTGGGTTGCTTAATAGCTATCTGATATTTTTACAGTACATAAAACTTAGTACCAGAAAGTGTAGATAAAGCAATATCCTTCAGAAGGAGGCAGCTTTATTGTTACTAAATCTGAGAAAAATTGATCTTAATGTGTGAAAACAAAGATGTCTCACCTAACAAAAAATGTAGTCTTAACTGTAGGCTGAAATATGAAGTGAGTGGCATAAATAATAGAAACCATTCTAACAGACTATTTTTTATACTGAATGAGATAAATTTTAGATATCTAATGCTAAATTGTACTTAGTTTTCTTATCCCTGACAAATCTCCAGTTTATTAAAATAAACAGAAATTGCAAATGAATAGCATTACATAGAAAGCTGCAAAATCTTTGAGGCATCTTAATTTTGGGGCCCAATTGCCCTTTGAAAGTTTTTACAGTATCTGCAAATTTCAGTAGTATATGAATTGCAAACTAAAATGATGAATGTACCATGATTATGTGCAAGTCCTACCATCTTTTTTTCTTTATCAATATTCAAAAAAAAGCTTTTATCTTAGCAGAGTTGTGAAGGTGTCATACCTGTCAAAGTCAGAGTGTTGTGGAAGTGCAGAAACTGGCTTGTACGTGATATTATAGGAGTGATTATTTCATAATTCCAGTACTTTACTGTTCTGCAGAGGAGAAATGAAATGCTGCTACTTGATTTTATATTTTTTTTTAACTCTAATAAAAATAATACATTTTTAACGTCTACATGCCTATGGAGGATGGAGAAAGAGTACAACTATTTATCTTCTAGATCAAAATTCTATAAGTGTTAGTCCTGGAAGAATCTATTTTTTTTTTATGAGATCCTTCATGCATTTCTGTGTATCAGGAAAACAAACAAACACAAAACAACAACAAAAAACATCAGAAGAATGTTGTGACCTACATATCTTAGAATTTTAGTATAATATTGCAAGTGCTTTAACCTCTCAGTTAAACTGGTCTGATGTATTAACAAAAAGTCATTATGCACATATTTTGGAAGGAATCCCAAAACCATTAATAATTTTAATGCTAGTGTAAGCTTGGATGTGCAACCTACGTATAGCTAACATTAATTCTGCTCTACAAAACAGTAAAATTTCGGTTTCACTCTACACAAGTCTCAGTTATTTGACCTGAAGTAATTAAGCTTGTTCGGAATTAAGCTCACATTATTTTTCTAGCACAGAAATTAAAGGAGTAATTTAGATAGAACTATTAGCTCTGAAATCAAGCTATAAGCCCTCCTGTGATCATGTGTTTCTCTTGGTACTTGCAGGGTTAAAGGGAGATGGTGGATATGCTGTTTGAAGTGTGTAAAACATGTAAGAAAAACTGCCTTGGGCATTGCCAACCAAACTGACTAATTGCATTCTTATTTTTGTGCTGAAGAAAATAACAGCATGAATACAGAAGAAACATCAAAGGGGTACTTGACCATGAAATGCTAATATAAATTCCTCTGTGTTCCTTGTCATTTGCAATCTGGTTTATCTTTCTTATTTTGAAAACTGTCTTCACATAGAAGCTAATTCCTCCACAAAAGTGCCAGTCCTCCAAAATAAATGCTTAATCTTGTGGGTGAAGCATCTACTGGTGCTCCAGGTGTGTGCACAAGGCTGTGTGGCTCACACAGGTGAAGCTGCCCTGCAGTGATCGCAGACGGGCTCCTCACTGCAGTGACCCACAAATGCAGGCCAAGAGCTGCACATGGCCTCTGTGCATGGGATGCGGCCAAGGGCTTTTGCTGCTGGACAAGAGGAGCAGGGAGCTATCAGTCAGCTGCAGAGCCTCCTGCAGAGTACCACAGCCTAAGCTGATCATGCAGCTAATCTACTTGGAGAGCAAATGGGGTGAGGATGTTGGAATTAGTTCATGGGAAGTTTAAAGCAATTAAACGTAAATTAAAACTGTTACTGCTATTACGTTGATCCCGAAAAGAGGAAATGATAACTTTAAGGGAACTTAAGTTAGAGGATCTTTTGTGTATATCAGAAAGTGAAATTTACTTGAAAATTTATTTAAGGAAAAGTCTTTTTTTACTTCAAATATATCCTGAACATATATCCTGAAGTCCTTATCTTGCTCTGTAAAAAGCTGCTTCCAAGATGGCAATACATTTAGCAGTTCTCCTACTTTATTTTTACTGCTATTAAACGTTAATTGACTTAAATAACAACTATCAGCAGGGCAGACGTGCTGGGACATCTCACAAACGTTTTCTCCTCAGATTTTGTGAAATAAAAGCACTCCTTTGACACAACAGATTTTTGTCACAGGGCAGTGCCCACTGCAAAGCCTTCGGTGACGGAAGGTTCTGGAGCTCTGGGGCAGGGCTGCGGGTGGCCTCAGAGGTGTTTGCTTTGTGAGGGGAATTGATGCATTTCTATTTTAATCTCACTTTGCCTGGCACACTTGCATTTTTGTTATGTTCCTGTTAATTTAACTTCTGTAAAACATCATGAGAACTAGTGAGCCCGTTTGGAGTGCTTGCTGGCAGGAGAAGCTGCATTTTCTCTCAGTGCACTTGTAATCTCTTCTGTGGGACGGGGTTCAATACTCCCATGCCATGGCTGTGCCCTGCAATAGAGGTTGGTTCCAAACTTTAAGAAGCAGTAGAGGCAGTGGGCACCTTTTAGGAAGTGTTATGCTTTGGTTCATGAAATGTAAGTGATATTCTGGCTGCCTGTAATGTTGTTAAATAAAAATATGAGTTAAGTGAGTAATGTTTTAAGTTATGGATTGATACGAGTTACTGTCCTTAAAATGACATTTAGAATAGGAAAATGGCTGCTCTGAAAGTTACAAGATTTAAGCAAATAAAGAGGTCAATTAGGATTATATTTTCAGGTCTAACTTTGGGACTAGGTCTAACTAGGTCACTAAAGCAGTGAAACCCTCTGGATATCTCTGAAGCAGTGTGCAACACAAGCAAACCTGAGTCTTCTGAGTCTTCATCCCCTTCTGATGTGACTTGTGCCCCCAAAACCAAAAATTAGAGCTGTTATGGAAATACTTCCAAGAGATGGAACTGTGGCTGTTTTTGTCTCATGCGGACAGTAAAACCAATTATGGCCTTGAAGCAAGAATAAGCCAAGAATATAATCTTTCACATCTTTAATCTTGTACTTATCAAAATAATTTCTGCTTACTCGTCCTTCTGACACTTTATAGTAGCACAACCTACCTATTGGTAGGTCTGACACAGTGGTTTGCATCTCACACAACTTGTACAACAGCATGCATTCATACAATGCCTATCATGCTCTGAGTTTCAGTGGATTTCCAACATGCCAGATCAATTATATTCACTTTTTTTTTTCTCATTTTCGTGACTGTCCCCACTGCTTTACATGTATTTTACTGCTAGTACTGAGCAGAAAAATTTCTTTACTATAATGGAAGAATAAATCATCCCTGAAGTTAATGAGCCATAAGAAAAGTCAGGTTACTTTTATGAAGTGACATTCTGGACATGACAGAACTGAAGAGTTTGTGTTTATGGTACATCTGTAAGAGATAGTTGACAGCATTAAGCATTCTTTTCTTTCTTAATAGGAAATTTAAAACAATATGCATTAATTGTGTTTGTTTTATTTTCCCACAGGATTGTACGGTGTATGAAACAGAAAACAAAATTCTTCACGTGGTAAGTATTCTATTATGGTATTCTCCAGTCCTACATCATGCCCTTCAGTCATTTTTTAAAAAGTATTAAATTCCACTATGGGAAAATAAAGTTACTATTTGACAAAACTCACGATGAATCATATCAGTTGCTGAAAGTTAAAGTTTTTATAAATAAAATGGAATTGCTAAATACACATATACATATGTGTATATATAGTTAAAAAATCTTTTTAACACAAGAAAGAGGTGAAATCAGCTTATGTAGACTGCAGCCCCTGAAACCAGCTCAGTACTAGTGGCCAGCCACTTTAATTATTGCCCCAATGGTCCACATTTCAAACTCCAAAATGTTATGCTTTTTTTATAATCAACCCAAAGAAATATAAATAGGCTCTACACAAAAATGTTAATTAAATATTTTTTCATCTAAGATAATGTCTTCAAATTCTCTGAAGATTGGAGGCTCCCAGAAGGTGATGTGATTAAAGTCAAAACCAGACCTATCAAGTCTTTTTACACCTTGCTAAATTGGACATCTTTCAAATTTAAGCCTTAAGAATTAGTTCTCTTCTGGTACCCATGCCTGTTTATTTTTGCAGGCAAGACCAGAACTCAGGTTGTTTTAGAAACTTTACAACATGATGGTACACTCTTTGTAGTGTGATACTCTTGCTAGGGTTGCTTGCACGGAATGCTGTCATTCCGTTGCCTATTTGCATTTTTAAGTTCTCTGGTTGTCAGTGACCCAGAACACTGTAAAAGCTTCCAGCACTCAACAAATGTAACGACTAAAGGGAAATGGAAGAATATCATGCATAGTTATTGATTGAGTATTGGCCTTTAAGTACTAATACTTTATATTTTCATGGTGCGTGCACAAAAAGCTTGTACTCACAGTGAGGTAGAGTTAAAATGTATGGTTTGGGGGAAATCTCGAAGGATTTACAAGTTTAGATAAGCTTTTGACAAGCTCTTACCAAGTGCCTGACATTTTTTTTTAAAGCCTTTTACACATACTCTGCTTCCAGCAGGGATTAAAATATATCATAAAACATTGATGTGCTGTTAAATTCAGAAAGCATGCAGTAACTTTTAGGAAGAAAAGCTCTCTATTGCAAACCTGATTCTGAAAAGAACTAAAAGCAACGTCTTCTGGGATTTGGATTTTGTATATATACATATATATAAACATCTTTTAACTCATGACTTGTGAAGCCTTCCGCCTGCAAAGGGCTTCATACAGGTGTTCGCAATCGTTAGGGACTCAACGGTCTGTCCATCTACCTCAGTGCACACCAATGTGGTGGGTGGTAAAATGGCGTTTATTTGATCACGACAGGAACTTATATAGCCTTGTACAACTTCGTCTACGCCCCTCTGACTCCACGTATAACTTCCCTATCTGGTTACTATTAGCAACTACCCGAGGGTGGAATGCCTCAGGGTCGTCTCCTGGCCAATGGACATGTGGAATGTCTTGTTTCTTCCTTATTTGGTCCTTCTTGCTCTTCCTTCTTATCTTCAGGCCATTTGTTGTCATGGTTTCGCAGGGGCCGAGGGGCCCCTGCAGACCCTGTTCGGCAACAGACTTGTGATTCTAACTGTGTACATCTTCTGGAACTCCATCTTTATCAGGAATGTTACTTTTAACCTTGCTACCTCTTCTCCATAGAAGCTCAAAAACATAGAAGAGGGGAAAGTTTCAGTTTTATACTTCCCATTTTTGAACTAGTATACAGGACTTTAGAACTTTCAATTTTCTTATGACAAAAATATCTTAGCAGATGTTAATGCATTTTCTCATAGTAGTAGTGCTAGATCAAATGATATTTCCAGTCCCTGTGCTGTTATTCGTAAATTCTCCTCAGTTGTTCCATCAATACTGTCTCAGCCTTTGCATTATGTATAAGTAGTGTCAGGTGTCTCCTGGACATGCTGAAATACATTTACGGTAAAGTAATATTTAAAATTATTCCAATGTATTATTTTTGAGTACTTTCCTAGCATAGATTTTAAATAACTTTGTGAACTGTGGTGAGATCTTAAGATTCATAAGATCAAATTTGAGTGAAAACTTGTTTACTTTAATTGTAAAGATTCTTTACTGAGAAAGTATTTACATGTGACAACTCTTAAATTATAAACCATATGCAAGGTGACTCTGGATTTAATCTGCATTTACTCTGTGTGTGTGTTCTTAAGAAGATGTGAAAGCATGAGAGTGCTTTATTTGGAAATAAAAATATTATTTTGATGTGACAGTAGTTCAAAAAACAGGCTGAAAGCATTTGCACACAACCAGGGTCAGCCAGCAGGTCATATGTAGAACAGCAGTAAAATATGTCATTTGAGCCAGCCAGTTTCCCTATCTGCAGTGGGAGAAGACAAGACCTGAAGTTTTGTTTATGGTTCCTGGCCCAGAGCTTAAACTGCTGGAAATATTCCTGTTATTTTGCTGACCTTTTGATGCAGTCATGCATACCTGAATGTGATGCTTTGCTTCTTGCATCTGGTCCAAAATACAAATGCCACATCCAGTACTCCAGAGCTGTACTTACATTTCCAGATGAGTGGCCATACAGTGAATGGGAATGTAATCTATAAATTCAGTTAGTTAGTTTTATTCCTCACGACAACTTTATTTGTTTAACTTCTCTGTATAGTGTCAAATGGTATATTAGAAATCCTCATGCTTTTGCAAATGACTGAAACAAAACTTCCCATAAGGGATTTCACTACCATTTTCTATAATTAGGGAAAATGAGAGTGTAGTCCCTGAAGGAAAATAGATGCCTACAGTAAGTTTGACTGGAAGACCACTCTGGAATTCATCAAAATGTGTGCCTTCAGACTAGATTCAAATATTTTGGGGCATATTCTTTTTGAAGGAATACTTTAAACTTGGTCTTTACACATTAAGATTCTCTGAGAGTCCAGATCAGCTCCTTTCTAATCCACAGACTTAAAGTTTGGCTTCCATTAATAGATTCAATTTGTCACCATCACCACTTTCGAAATATGGTTCCTATTTTGAAGGTGTCTGTGGATTCACACAATTCACAAATGGATTTTACATGCTTCATAAAATAAAATTTCCATGTTATTTATTATGGTATCTTATAATAACAGATCAGATTAAGTTCATTGAGCATTTTTATACATTTGGGTATTTTTGATGCATGGATGTTCTCAGTACACAGTATTACCTTTTGTTCAAAAGTACTGTACAGGCATGTTTATTTTATTGACCCAGATATTTTTTGTTACCTTAAGCTCTTGTTCTTAACTTCCCTATGCAACACAACTTCAGTTCTTGACAACCTCTAGTTTTTACAGGAGAAATAAATGATATGTTTATTCTCAGATTGTTCTCAGACTTAAGAACTTTGCCAGTAGTTTCAAATAAATACAAGAAATCATATTTTTCTTTGTCTTATTTTTCTTTGTAGTGTAAAACCTTGTCTGGAATTTGTGACCACATCATTTCACTCTCATCTGATTCTCTGGTGTCACAGTCAGCACATCTAGAGGTAGTTCATCTCACCAGCATTATGCCCAGTGAAGGTTTGGTAAGTACCAAAGCAATTTAAATATTAGAGTTCAAGCCTTGGATCTTTATTTTATAAAAATTAAGTTCCAGAAAACAAAATGTGTTTTCATTCATATCCTACTATTATATTTATTTAATTTCTTTTGGTAAGCTGAATATGATTTCTGAAGGTAGTTTAATTAACATTTATGCAAATAAAAGGATTGTAGTCAGTTTTATTGTCAGTTTTATCTAGGGCTTGATGTGCAACTAGTAAACATATGAGCAGCTTAAAAATAGTTAATAGTCTTTTGATAACCATATCACAGCTTTTGAAATGTACTAAAATAGTTAACTTCATTTGCACATGTAAGTATTTGAGCATTCATTGTCATTAGTTAATGTGCTTTGAAAATGATTAGTGGAAGGTATGTTCCTGTGTTTTGCATTAAAATAGTTAAATGCCTCCCTTACAGTATGGTTAAAATGAAATTTTGATAAATATCATCCCAGAAACAAAATACATCCCTTATACTCATAAACTGTTGTTCACTGAGCAGGCCAGGTAGCTGCCTTCTGGACATCCCAGTCGCTTCACATTATTGATTGGTCATACAATTAAAATTCTCCCCAGATTTCACAGTGTAATAATTATTTTGCTACCATTTCTTAGTGTTATTGTACTGTTACACTTAGGCAAGAAATTTTTGTGAGATTTATGTGTCGATAGGTAAAGATTTCTGTATCTTTTCCCTAGCTCCCCAGTTCACAGTCATTCTGGTATCAGTAGGCTGTGGGAGGAATAGGAAAAGTGCTTGGGAACTTAACATTCTACTAAATTGCCAAATTAAAACCTGTTCCATTGTCACTAACATTGTGTGATGTTTCTTCTTGGTAACTGAATGCTTGTTTTGATTCCTGTTAGTTGAAATGTGTTCTATTATTTCAGTACCTTACTCTTTATTCTATTCTGAACAGCAATGAACATCATGTACAAATTCTGTCAAAGTTACAAGAGCATGATTAGTGAGGTACATACTGATTTGGGACTGCTTTAATACCATAAGTAATTTTTGTATGATTAGACACATTTAATTTAGTTTTGGATAGATACAGTTTAAAAAAACTACAGCATAATAAAATACTTTTTACTTTAACTTTTTGGCATTATAATCACTTTTACAAGGTGTAATCCTGAAGACAGACATACTATTTGCTGTGCTGCATCCCTAGTGACCAAAGCTTCTGTCTTTTTGGCTTAGATTCTTCTCTTGTGCAATTAATGAGTTAATTCAGGGATATCCAAGAGATGCCAAGTCAGTATCACAGCTAGTTTAGTATATATACTGTAACCCTGTTGCTTTTGACCTGCCTTAAGGCTGATACAATCCTGCACACTTGCAATCCGAATCTCTGTATAACTTTCCCTTCTATCCAGAAATTTCAGCTAGCTTCTTGGATGTGAACAGTATACTCTCAAAGCAAACTTATCATAAAGTCTCGGGGTTGGATTTCATCCTTTATGACATGGTTACCAAAATGAGGCTGGTTGGCTGTATTGTCATGCCTGTCACACGGCCTGTAGTCTCCTCCATACTGCCTTCTTTTCCAGTGGAACACCAAGCAGACAGAGCCTGTGCTGTGCCCACACAGTAGACTGGGCTCCATCACTAGGTGGAAGCGCTGTGGTGTGCATCACCATCTGCAGTGTGCCAGTACTTTTATAGCTAACACAACTGCAGTCAGTGAGTACTGCTGACGGAGGACATGAGATAAGTATTGCAATCAAATTTGCCCGTTTAAAATGTTTTGTAGATGAAGTGAAATCACTGTGAATGACTGAGTTTTCTGTGCCTAATTGTGAAGGCGCTATAACATGGTAGGTTGGAAAGTTCTTTATAATCAATTTTGCTGACACCGTGTTCTGCATAGGAAAAAAAATATGAAAAAGGACTATAAATGGGAATAAAAGAAAAATCATGTGAACAGTAAAACATTAATCAGAATCAAATATAGAACAGAGTAATGAATTACAAATGGCTTTCTCGTGATTGTATAGCAGTTTTTTCCACAGGATCTCTACTCCATTCAAGAGAAAAATGAATGCTATTCACTGAATGGAAAGTATTCAGAGTTCCATTTTTATCCTTATCATTCAGTGTAGGGTTTGATGTATTATTTACCACATTTCATCTAAGTTCTGCGTTCCCTTCAGTTACCAATTTCGTCATGACTTTTTTTTTTGTTGTAGCCTTATTGAATGCTTCACAGACATCAGTTAATTTATCCTCAAGACACACTTGTGAAAGAGATATTGCAATTTCAGTTTTATGGGAAAGAATCTCATATAGAAAGCAATTTGGGGCAAAATCACTAAAAATCTATTTTTTGGAGACTCAGTGGGAAGTGCTTACCGTATGATTATTCAGGAGGCTTGTTACTTTTATGGACTAATTACAAAACACAACCTCTCTTGATTATAAGCGTAGCTAAGATTTTATGAGCTACTGAGATCTGTAGCTTCAGCTTTGAACACTGTTGGCACCTAGAAAAGGAGTGTTTGTTACTTTTTGTGAAATATCTGTTGTAAACAGATCGCCCAGACTTGTATAAGAATTCAGTTATCTAAAATAAAATTCAGTTGTATTAATTGTGAGTTTTTACTTGCAAAACTTCATTTCTTCAGCAAAAGAACCTGACTTCCTATAGACATGGCATAAGCTTACATATAAACTGAATTAATTTCCAGGTTTAAATAAGTACTGTATCTTTACAGCATTTTCACAAAAGGGTTGTGTTTCATATGAAAATGAGCCTTCATTGATAATATTTTCTAAATTTCTGTACATGTTATTATGGGCTCAATAGTCCTTTTTGTTATTCTAAAATGTCTTTTTCAGTCTTCTTTATTTAAAAATAGTCTCATCTGAAGCATTCCCTAGAAGACACTCTTTTCTGATAGGTCAGTGGCTGTTTGCTTGACAAAATACTTTGCACATTAGAAAGATACTGTGGCAAATACCGAAAGTCTCTCCATATCTTCCCTATTACATTTTGAAGTAACTTTCAACATCACTTAAGTCTCCCCTGAACTGTAATAGTAGGCATGTTAATACAGTCTGATTTGTCAGCTCTTAAAGCAAAGAGAAGCTGCATGCATGTTTATGAAATGAAATAAAAACACTAACTGCATGATCTAGTGAAATGACCTTATAAAATTAATAAACACAAAAGTTAATAATAAGGCAGTGTTTTAAGAGAACAATTAGTCACAGTGAGCATTATCTAAACTGGTAATTCATAAGCAGTAAAATTAAGCTGTATGACCAGTTTTAGCTGCTTTTATTTTTAGGATTTAAATAAAGTTAAACTTATCTGAAAATGGATTAGTTAATATTAAGGTAGAAGCAATAACGAAAGGTCACAACAGATTCTGTTGGAGCAGGTTTCTCAGAGTTTCATCCAGTCAAGTTTTGATCATCCCCAAGGTCAGCTATTCCACAGCCTCTCCAGGCAACCAGTTCCAGTGTTGCGTCACCCTCAAGGTTTCAAAAAAAGAAAAAAGAAAATAAAATTGTTTTTCTGCCAAGTTCCAACTTATTTCTCATGCTTCCATCTCTTTCAAAAAGAGTTTGGCTCTGACTTCTCTGCAGCCTTACAATTTATGTAGTTGTAGAGACCAAGGCAATCTTGCCTTTCTGGAGTTTTACTATTTTTGTAGGTTAACAGCTAGCCTGCAGATCTTCATTAAGTTTCGGGAATCTTGAGATCAGTTGCTGAACAAAATGTTCTTTCTCATTTGCTGGAGGCTCTTGCATTTTGACAATGCAGGGTGATGCGGAATTATTGAAAGGATAATGAATCAGCAGTACAGTGTATCAATTAGATTAATTAGATTTCAAAATTTGATGTATAACCACAAAATACAGAGAGATGTGAAGCTACGACCTTACTCATGATAGGTAAGAATGCAAGCAATTGAGTCTCACTGACATTTAAGGCTCTGTGTACGTGTGTGCATGTGTGTACGGATAGATAGATACCTACTTAGGTTGTCTCTCTGTATCTCATCAATCACCTCCTTGAAGCAGAATTCTTGCTGGACTAATTACAAAACTCCTGTTAGCTCACCATGCTCATTTTTTCTACATAAATTGGCAATGTGAGCAGTGGCTCATGTATTTTCTAAGTTAGATTGTTTCCTTCTTATTGAACCAGTAACTCTCTGAAAGGAGGGCATATAATTTTAAAGACTATTTGTGTTCATTGTTTGAGTTTTGATACTTCTTTTATGGCACTAGTAATAAAGAGAGGTTATGTTAAATATTTCAAACACTGAACTGTATCAAGCTTTCATGCTAAGGCTTGGGCTTGGCGCTGAATTCTGTCCCAAAACTTCTTTCAAACTTAAAATGCATACTGTATGTAACAGGCAATGATACATATGTGTTTAACTGCAGATGTTATTCACACATGATTTATTCCAGACTTCTGAAATGTTACCATTTTTAAACTGAAACAGACATACATACTTGCTGTATTATCATGCAAACAATATTTGTTTCTTACAAGTATTAATTACCTTTTTGCCTCTTTTCAGGGGATGTATATCAAATCAACATACGACGGGCTGCATGTAATCACAGGAACAACTGAAAATGTAAGCTTGCTAAGCCTAAAAGAACATCTGTTGTGAATGCAAGTATCTTCTGTATACCTGCAGTGTATTTTTTTATATCAAAACTTGCTGTAAAGCAAGGCACTTCTTATCAATAGTGTTTTATTTATTTATTTATTTTGCACATATTATGTCACCATCTTAAAAATTTGAAAATATTAGCAATAGATGTAGAAAAATACCTGTGATGAAGTAACTAATTATAAAAGACAAAAATATTGAACTTCTGTGCACAGTGGTCCTGGTCAAAACATTGCAGTCAGTGATAAGCATATTGCAGCACATAAATCAGCATGACTGTTATTCTTTTCATGCTACTCACTGTATCTGTGAAGTAGTTTCTTGTTACTTAACTTGCAATTCATAATTACAAATTTGAAAAAATAATTTTACTCCAACTTCTGCAATATAATTTTTATGACAGACTTCATAATAGCATCCACCCCTTCTGTTTTCCATGTAGTCCATGTTTTAGTCGCAGAGATTTTATTCAGCCTTCGATCTGTTTAAAAGTGAATAAATTCATTTATATCCACAAATAAAAGTGAATAAATTAGAAACTGAAATTTCATAAAACTGATATTGAAACTAAGCAATGCTAACACCCAAGGAAGATGAAATTTGCATTGTGCAGCTAGCCATGTGGGTCCAAAGTAGCACATACTGTGTAATATTGATATTTTGTTTTCTTCGTTTTGTATAAATCAATATGGTTTTTGTCACTCATTCTTTGAGATATTAGAGATCCAGGGAAAGCCTGATGATTTATTTATCATAATTTATGATAAATGAAATGTAAATTAAACTTAAAATTTGTTTACTTATACTAACACCATTGATAGCATTTAGAAGTCTTAAGTATTTGTAAGTAGAGACGTAAAAATCATATATTGATTCCTGAAACTGGTGAACAAACCCTCTTGATTATGTTGCACCCATAGAATGAATAACACATGCTATAAATAATATAGTTGTTTGTTGTAATTTTAATTAATTTACATAGAAATATGAATCAGTTTGTGGAAAAACATATATTTATAACTGAAATTCGTGGGAGGAGATAAGAAATTAATCAGCCATTAAAACCCTAACATTTTTTTGTCTTGTCTGTGTAAGGTCTTTATGATAAGAGAGCACTAAGAAGTTGTTTGGTTGTTTTCTTTTTCTTTTATTTTTCTTACAGTGTAATCACATGTGCAGTTAAACCAGCTTCAAAGACATTTAATTTCTGGCATTTCAGCAAATTGATTTTTCATTCCTTTTGAAGGGATAATTGACCTCAGAACCAGTGTTTAATTTTAAAAGATAATAATTAGCTCAGCCTTGTCAAAGTCAGGAAAGGAGCTTAAAAAAAAAAAAAAAGGCCTCTGCTTTTTCAACTAATGTCAACTGAAGTTAAATGCATTATGAATAGTGATGTTTGCTTCCATTTCCTGCTTACCTTTCTTTCACAGGTTAAAGGAATCAAATTTGTGTTTCCATTGAATTTTAGGCATGGAAATAGATTATCTTTCTGTTATAAGTGTAGTTCTGTATCAAGAGCAGTCTGCCAAAATTCTGTGTTTCCACTAAAAAGATAAATTGATGCTGAAGCCAGGCAGTTTCTGGCTAGAAAATACATAGGCAAAATCCTTTTTATTTTGGTGTGACTGAGATGTCAGGAGATGATAGCAGGCTGTAATGGCCAGGCAGTTTAGCTGAAGGGCTGGAGTCTTGCTACACAAGATAGAGAAACCCCTGTGAAAGAACAAGCAGAGATCAAGCAGGTGAGTGGTTAGCAGCAGCTCATGAAGGGAGGCCAGAGTGATAAGCAAGGAGAAGGCTGGAGGTGAAAGCTCTGCTTGGAATAGTACCCATAACACTTTGAATCAGTGTCAAATATTGGCTATTTGCCCGACTTTGCTTGTTATTTATTACTTACTGAATAATTAATGATGTTTCCTACCACTTCCTAGCAATTGTGTAGACTGCAAAATCTACTGATTAGTCAGCAGGTGGTCACTACTGGACAGTGTTTGAGCTCCTCGTAGATTGTCTCTGAACTGTGTTTATGTGACACAGTTTTGGCAGTAGGGGTTGCAGGGCAGTCCTGTGAGAAGAGCCTGGAAGCTGCTCTGTCAGATATGAGCCAAAAGTCACTGGCCATAGCTGAGCTGTGCCTCTTTACTTACATGTTTAAGAAAGCTTTCCCATGGTGGTAATTGGTCAGTGATCTCCCTGCTCTGCGCTTTTTAATTGTATTTTCTCCCTATTCTGCTGAGGAAGTGCAGTGAGCAAGCACCTGTGTGATGCTTGCCTACCTATCAAGATTAAAACATAATTGCTAGTATTTTGTTTAGAAGCAATTGTAGTCATTTTCTATCTAGTGGCTGTTTGGGTTTTTGTTGTTTCCTGTTGCCCTTATTACTTCTATTTATTTATAAAATTCATTCACATAATGGATAGAAATGATAGCTGTGATTTGTGGTTGGAGTATACTGCCCAACAGAACAGCTGTTGCCAATTTTCTGGAAGTTTTGACTGGTAGGCAGTGAGGTCAAGTTTATAAGCCTCTTCAAGTCACCTTTAGTGCAGGTAGATCTTTTCTTCTGTTGCATATATTGACATGCTGTTGACCATGGTCATGTGGCTTGCAGGACAGTGAAATTTAATCTATTTTAATACAATTAGAGGAAGCTATATTTAGTGTAAGGAAGTTTTTCAAGTCAGATCTGAAATTATGGGAGTGGAGTAATATTACATTTACTGAAGAGCTAGACTGTCAAACACTTTATCCATTTGTAATTACCATTTTGTGTTCATATGGTTAATCTAGTAATGTTTTGAAAGTGATGGAGCTGTAGCATATTTGCCAAGTATTTGCAGTGGACTTAAGCAGAAAACCTGTTCTATAAGTCTGTATTAGGCCTGCTTTTCTGCTATGTGTATGTTTTTCTCAGCCCTATCTCTGGATGTGCCATAGTTCAGTATTTGTTGACATAATAGATTTATTGCTGTGTGATGTAAATTCACCCAGTGAATTCCCAGCAAGATTGTAACGGCTCATGGCCTGATACTCTGCTCCGAGAGGTAAAGAGGCTAAAGTAGTTCAAACAGTCAGAAAGGCTGTTCATCACCTTAGGAAGTAGGATTTGAGATTACTTCATCACTTAATTGCCATCTGTTACAGAAAAAAAAATTGTTCAGAGACATTTTTTAATAAATATAATAAAGTACTGTTATTTGATAATAATACTTCTCTGGGCAGAGCTTTCTTGCCTCTTTCCCCATTCATGGTTTTCATTCGTGCTCTTCCCTCATGCTCCTCCACCCCAAATATAAAGTTAATTGTTATCTCCTGTCCTTAGTCTCCTGCTGACCAGTGTAAGAAAATCCATGCTGGTGATGAGGTGATTCAAGTCAATCATCAAACTGTGGTAAGTACTCTGGAGGTTCTGCCCTGCAGGTTTTGCCTATTCCCACTGCTAAAAGTATAATAACTCTTACTAGGAAACTTTGCCAAAGTAGATCAGTCTTCTTGCTTTTTAAAGTATAATTATTGCTTGCACTTTAAAAAAGGCAGAAATTATCATTAACTAACCTGCAAGAATGATTTCTACACAGTGGAGACTAAATATTTCTTTTCCCCTTTTTCTTTTTTTTTCTGTTTCCCAAAACACTTACTCAATACTTATTAACTTTTTAATTCAAATGTCGCATCTTCATTCCCTCTAAAATAAAAATCCAGCAACACTTTGTATTGATTTATAACCAGTTATGATGATTCCTGTTTTCCTTTTACCTTATTCCCAAGCTGAAAGAAGGGAAATGTCTCTCTAATGTGTCAATGTTCAGTTTATATTATGTGAAGCATTTAGCACTGCCCTTTGAAGAGGCTTATTTTACATTAAGATCTTAAATATTTCCTGGGCTTTTAGAGTTTTCAAGATTCTTAGAATATCATTTCAAATATATGTATCCAATGAAATCCACAGTCTCCGATATCATTTCCATGGGGACTGTACTTAAATCATTGTAAGATGGACATTTCTTTAATGCTACTCTTTACTCTTTTACTCTTTAGTGCTACTCTGTCAAGTATGAATCCTGTTTTTTAAAAAAATCATTCTGAAAAGGAGTAGATATATTCATCTTATATTACCATTAGTGAAAATACTTTCCTGATTAGAGAAAGTAGAGATTTCTTTGAATAGGTTCTAATGCTGTAACTGAATATTGGCATAATCTCATCTAATTTTGACTAAACAAGGTCAAAGTATTTCCTGGATAAATTCATATTTGTGCATTCACCAGGATAATTTGATTTTTCACAACATCCAGTGACGTTCACATAACCTGTAATGAGTTGTGCCAGTAGTTAATTATTCTCACTGCCAAGTGGGGTGTCATTTTATTTGTATTATACTTCCAGTCCTTTGGTCTTGATACATTTATATCTATTTTACTGGAGATCCCATTTCTCATGTAGATATTCTCAGGATATAATCAAATTACTTCTTCACCTTTTTTTTCTTTTTTTTTTTTATAACCTAAACAATTTGAGCACTTTCAATTTTTCATCATAATGCATTACTCACTTTGTTTAAAGTCCCAGCTGTAATACTTTGCATATTTAACACTGAGTTACTGCTCTACAGGAAAAACATTCATAGACACACAGTACACCTCTGCTAAAATAGTACAAATGAGACTATTTTACTGTAACCACTACTAACTTGCTGTTTGCCATTTTTTTAAAACCTACTGTTCATTTTTTTTCATTCACAGGCAAAAATAAAATTAAAAGAGCACCTGGATTTATTCCCTATAAAATAAAAACTGTAATTTCAATTTAAATTCGTCTTTTTCCATCGAGGGTCCATTTGTAGAAAGGAATCACTAACCATTTCGAAACTGAGGGAGAAGCTTTTAAATAGGTTTAGGATGTAGAGTGGAAAATAGTTATACTGTCCCTACATTCCAGTGGAGTCAGCACAGATAACAGCACTTCTAATCCTGGAAGCATTTCTCTGGGGTTGTAAAGCTATAGCAGAGGATTAAGCATGCTGACAATGTCAGTCCATTGAATTGCTGCATGTGTGGAGTTAAGTATTTTGGGATTGGTGTGACTGGAATATTTTGGCTGTATGTCCTCAAAAAAATTCTTGTGACTTAAAATTTATATAATCATTTTATATAGAGCTTATTTGAATTAAGAAAGAAATATCTGATTGCTAAAGGTAGGTACATTAATTCACTTTTTTCCTGAAATCAGTTATATTAACAAATATATTAACCACATTAACCAAATAATGCAACTTGCTTTACTTTTCAAATGGTTTTTCAGTGTGGATGAAAATTTAATGAAACAAGTTCAGGAAGTATCAAAGTAAAACTGCTTACAAGTTATGTAATGCAACAGTTGAGTAAGAAATAAAAGATTTATCACGTGGAATTTGCTCTAACCAAAGAACACTATTATACAGTTACGAAGATCAAAGAAAAAATAATAGTACTTTAGGCAAGAAATTAATTAAATCAGTCGACTCACCACTAGCTATTAAGATCACTTAATCATTATCCAATTTCCTTATTTGCTTTTCTGCTTGTCCTTCTTGCTTATAAGATTTTAATAAAACAGCACAAGAAACTTGAACAAATAAATTACATGTTCTAAAATACATTAACTCTTTTTTATCTTGTCAGTAATAACAGGCACTAATTCTGCCATTATCTTGAGAATTTCTATTTTCCCTTTTTAATAAAATTAAACATAAGTCATTTATATGTCACTGTACTTTTATTTGTTTATAAAAATTATAATTGCACCTTAAGTTGCTTGAAATTTATCTATTCTGCTGCTTAGCTGAAATAAAAGAAGGTAAATTTCATTTTGTCTTAACTTTCCTTAAAGTTTTTTTTTTATAGATGGTAACTGATTCTTCAATCAGAAGATTAGGACTGTCATGCAGTGAAAACAGGATAAAATTAATACAGAGAAATACTAATTTCTTTGCATTTTCCTTAACATGAATACTATAAAATGTAGGACAATTAGAAAGCCAGTCATAAAAGATACAGAAATATATACCTATTTAGAATGGAAGCAAAGTTGATAAATTAAGGCCAAATAATCTGCATCTAAGTTTGCTAAAGACAACGACGCTTCAATTGCAAGTTCCTGAGCACAGGTTTTTAATGAATTTTCTGCTTTGGAATAACTTCTTATGTTGTGGAAATGTAAAGAGGAAAACTTATTAGCAAATACTATGGAAGGATTTACAGAGAAAAGAAAGGATAACTAAAGACATGCAGAAAAGGGCATGTTAGGTGAAATACAATATACATTTATGAAGAATAAATGATTAATGTTCTACTTTTCATCATTTCTCAGATGACAGAAATCTTACAGATTCAAACAGATATTGATCCAACTATCTGACCATCTGTAAAATATTTGATATACTTTTGTACACTAAAGTATTAGATTAACTAGGGAAAACCAAGTTTTCAGAAAACTGACAACTTCTTTTGAAGATTAGAATTTGAAGGTCATTTAATAGGACAGAGAGCAATAATAATGCTTTTAGTAACTCATGTTGAAAGCTAAATGTTACTCAGGAGCAGCTGGCGAGAATCCAGAAGTCAGAATGTAGTAATTAATCCCAAATCGACTCATCGCCACGGAGGTGATGTGACTGAAAATGGCAAAGATGAACTCGGAATTAATCAGGAACACTTTTCCAGGGGAAATAGAGTTTTAATGCCATTGTCTTGACATTGGTAATATCTTGTCTGAAATACTGTTCAGGTCATTTGCAGTCATCAAAGGTGAATTTACATATGAACATTTAAAAATGTAATGGAGGCAAAGAAAATGTATTGTCTGTCTCAGATGAAGGGATTCTCTAATTTAAAATTTTTAAGGACTTTAATTTGGTTAACCCAGCCAGCTAGGTCTGAGAGAAAATAGAACTCCTCTGTCTTAACAGGTAGAGGTTACACAGGCCAGGAAAGGAAAGGAACAGTTTAAGGCAAAAAATTATGATGTAGAAGAGCGTAAATTCGTATAAACAACTATAAGTAGATGTGTGGTAAAATCTGAAAGAGATCTTCTGAGGATGGTGATTGAGGAACTGATAAAAATGACTAAGTTATAGTTGCCTACAACTACATAGAACAGGAAACAAATGGATGTAGTAGCTGGAAAGGCTCTTTCTATTCCAACACCTTTGCTTTGTTGTGTTTGCTGCAGGTGTTTGGTACGTTATCTCTGAATAGCTATTATTATTAGGTAATGTTGATACATTTTCATTCTTGATAAGGTTATTCTCTGGAGTGAACGATGCTACATAAATACATGATCAGCAACCTAATGCCCTTTTGCCCTTTCATACTGCTCATTGTCTGTCAATGAGCATACTTTGATAATAGCAAGAACAACATGAACGCTGTTTGGATGTATAATGCCCAAACTCTTATTGCTATAGATTGCATTCTGAATCTCTTTCACACAAATCCGGATATTTTATATGAGGAGGAACAAAATTAAGACCCAACAGTTTTGTTTTTTTTTAAGATGCAACAGTTTGGTAAATTTCAGCACTAACTTATTGATGTTAAAATATTTACTGAATTAATATTGCAGATGTATGTGTATTGATTTGTAAATTTGAGTGTTAATGAAAGTTCACTGTGGGTGGAGATATGTCTGTACATGTAACACCAGTTTGTTCTATTTGTGTTTGATTTACGATTTCTACCCCCAGAATAAGTCACCTGGTTTGTGAAGAAATGTCCACATATCACTCTAAGAATTCTGCCTTTCATTGTTTCTCTGTTACTTAATGAAATCACTCTGTAAGATAAAGGAAGAATGTTTATAATTCCACCATCAATTACTGTTAGTTACAGTTAAGAAATAAATGAGAAGAGCAAACCAGCCACCAGTGTTAATGAAGAGCTTCCATTTAGTGACAAAAAGTAGTCTCATGATCTAGCAGCCTAATAATAATTTCTGATATCCATATTAATAAAACTGCTTCCCTTGATTAGTCCCCTAGCCCAAGCAGTATTGTAAGGCAAAGTGAATTATATATTTAAAATACAAAAAGACGTCTTTTTCCTTAACAAAAAATTGAGTTTACGCGGTAAACTTTTTATTTATTTACATATTTATTTTTAATGAAAATATGAAGAAAGGTCGCGCTGCTAAGATTCAAGTAAATATCCAGATGGGTTTGCTTATGTATTCAAAGAGCCTTGAGGGGAAACATCTGTCCTGGTTCATGTAGGGGTTAGGTCCTACTGGAGTCAAAACAAAATTACTTGTTTGCAGGTGGTGAGCAGTGTTCTAAATAGTGGTGTCATATGTTCTAAATATTTCATAAATGTTATTCTGTACAATTGGCTTCCTGATCAAATGCATAGCAAGGCAGGTCTTAAATTCCCTTTTAGTTAAACTATGCAGCTTGTCAATACCATCAATACTCACAACTCACAAATGGATGAAGGTTTAATCTACCTTCTTTCTGTGAGATGCATTATGTATTTTTGTACTCCTTGTGAGTTTTCAATGTTTTTAGAGTCTCAATCTTGTCGCTTTGACTGGAATCCCCTGATAAGCATCACTGTGTTCAACAGTCCAGTTGTTTCTTCGGTTCCTTTTCATAGATGCATAGGCTTACTCATGCACAAATGCACTGCGAAGGAGCAAAGTCACTACTGGGAGACTCTAAAGAAGTTATTGCAGACAAACTAGAAAACAAACTGGTTGAATGTAGGTTAATGATTGAGCTGTTTTTCTCAATATACTACTCATGAAGTTCTAGCTGTAGTAAAATTATCAGCTTTAGATACACAAAATTACTACAGCATTGTGTATGTTTATGTCATTAGACTCGTGATAATGAAATTTAGTATCATAAAGACTGATATTTTTGAACTGTTGTTTTAAATTTACAGTATATTCCAGTTTCCACTAAATATATTTCTTGTACTTCCGTTGACAAAATTAATACTTTAAAACAAACAACAGTAGTGCAAAATTTTTTCACTAGAACCAATTTTTCACACTGCAGAAGTACAAGTCAATAAAAAATATTAATTGAAGAATCCTAAAAATAAATCACAAAAAAGAAATTAATTTTCTGCCTACCTGCTACCATTTTCATTTACATTAAGTTAATGTGTGTATTGGACTGGACCACAGGCATATGGGACTTTCCACACTCTACTTTGTAGGCCTGGTTTACCATGAGAGCACATGCATAGAAATAGGACATTGTATTACATTATGTAAGGATGTGTAGTAGAGAACTGCTCTGTGACTAGAGCTTTACCATGTCATACAAATAGAGCATAATAATGTGCTGAATTTGTTGATTTACATGTGGTGGGTGTTCTAATTGTTCCAATTTCATTTATTCAGGAAAAAAAAAAGCATCATGCTAGTCTTTTTTTCTTCTTTCTTCGTTAATCTTAACTTCCAGTACTGAGTGAAATGTCTTAACCCATATTGTAGAATCTGATTAACTGAATGGTTAAAAACTTAAAGGACCAAAATACCCTTTTGCTGACCACATCTCACCACAGTTAGAGGTTGATAATTGCTATTAAAGAATGTTTAAGAATAAATGTCATACTCTGTCTGAAGGACTGGTTTTCAACAAAGAATTTTTAATCCTCTGTAATGACTTCTATTTTCTCAAAGATATTTTTAGTAATTCAATTAATAATAACATGTCCAAATTCCTAAGAGCATTTTATCATAGCCTAGTAGTAATGATTGCAGACTGTTCTTTAATAGATCTTTGTATTTAATGGTTTTGTCATTAAGATTATCATTGGAATAATTTATCATTAACTTAATTATTTATCATTCTTATCTAAAAGGAGCTCATGGAATTCTAATGGTTACAACATACTGAAAGTTACAGCCATCTATAAAAATAAAAAATATTTCACTTTCAATTCTATAACTAAGTAAAAAATACATATATGCGGTCATTTTGTAATCTAGTTTGTGTGGAATGGAAGTTGATGTATTTGTTTTCAGTTGTGGCCTCTTTAAAATTACTTTCATTTTTTTCTTTCCTTTGACCAATGCATTTTTAGGATATTTTCCAGCAACAATAAAAATAGAACTTTAAAAGGCTATTAATATCCTTTTTAGAACTATGACACGTATTGCAATTCTTTCCAAGACAAGTGTTCACTTTTGGGATCCTGGCTTCAGGCCACTGTTGAGATCAGACAAAAACAATAGAGTTCTAGCCTGTCTTCTCTCAGGCTCTTGTAGGAGGATTTGAACTGAGATCTCTTCATGATTGCTTTTATGATTTTCTCTCCAACTTCATGTATAATCAGTTACTGCCTTCCTCTAAAAGAAAGTAATTATAAATCATATTTGATGTAGTATAATGATATCTGTAGACTGCACTGATTTTGCAAATGTTAGAAGACATTTATAGAATTCATGGAGCCAAATTTGTTCTCATATTTAAACCAGTATTTTAATAAGAAAATATGCAACTATCTCTAAGAAGGGTTTAATTTTTTACTGGTTTAATTTTTAAAAATGTGAATTTTGATGAATTTCACTTTCTGTTCTGAATTCATAAATTTCAGCATTTTGGTGCATATTTTTTTTTTCTCATGTGCCTGTACAGCTGAGAAAAATGTGATCATCAGCATGTAAATGTAAGATTAGTTTTAGCATAAGCACAGATATATACTCTTTTATATTATTCAAAACTTCTCTACCCATTCAGGATGATAGGCTATTGTAAAACATTAAAAAAAAATCCCATATGAATCAGTTATTTTTTTTTCATGTACAACCATTTCATGGTTATATAATTTCATATTGAAATAATCAAGAAGATCAATAAATGTCTATAAATAACCTTTTTATGAGAGGCACATATAAAATATTTTCAGTTTTAGTGATGTTCATTTTTATATCTATGTTTCCCCTTTATAGTAACTTGAATTATTCATCTATGTCGGTGTGGATGAATCAAGTAAATGATAATTTATTTTCAGGTAGGATCTAAAAGCTGTTATATATGTTGATAAAACGTAGCATGTCTACTTCCTCCACAGTGAGGGCTTCAACTAAGGATCCAGACAAATTATTCCAGAACTGCTAGTCCTCATCTAACAGAGAATGCAAAGTTTTTTGTATTGAAAGTCATGAAAAAAACTCTCTGCATTTGTCTAGAATGGTCACATTGAAATATTGTATGTATTTAAAGTTTTTTTTTTTTTTTTTTTTTTTTTCCTGATGCTTGCTGGAAATAAAATAAAATTTGTTTTGTGGAACAAAGTGGAAGAAGTGGAACAAGTAAATTTTGGAAGGAAACCAGTGGTTTTTTGTCAATTGACTCATCACCATGTCCCTCCGCTGTAAAATAACTATCTCCTCTTCTTCCTTCCTCTCTCTCTCTGCCCTGTTTTCCATTAATGATACCTCTGAATGCACTAATATTGTGTCTGTTCTTGAGCAAAGTATACATGGAATGGTTACCCAGTCAACAGAACATATATAATATGAGTTTTGCTTGTCTTTCTCTCCGAAGTATATTAATTTTGAAAATTAATGTTAATGTTTGAAAAATCATTTGCTGAAATCTTTTCTGGCAGTTGTCACATCCTAACTATTTTTGAAATATCAGTTCTGCTTGCAATCTTGATTTAAAATATACAGTGACCTTACGAATTATTAAAAAGGAGATGGTGTTCTCTTACACATTATTTTATTGAGAAATCAGCCTTAAAAAAAAAAAAAAAAAAAAAAAAAAAAAAAAAAAAAGGCAGAAATCACCCAACTTCACCAGCATCATTTCAGTCCAACAGTAGTAACTAGATATACTTTATAAAAACTGTTTGTGTTTGCAGAGCAGGAAGTAATAGACCATTTCAGCTGTAGAAGCCTTCCTTCACATCTAAAGCTAAATGGAAAGCTTTCAAAACTCAGTTATGGAATTTTTTTTTCTTAGGTTGGCTGGCAGTTAAAGAACCTGGTAAATGCATTGCGGGAAGACCCAAATGGTGTGATTTTAACCTTGAAAAAACGTCCTCAGAATACCCTGGTTTCTGCTCCTGCCCTTTTGAAGAACGTCAGATGGAAACCTCTTGCACTTCAGGTAAGAAGGCTGTTGCAGCTCTGGTGCCATGGTAAATCCTTCACACTATTGAAGGGAAAGTATCTAGAACCATTCTTCCCAATGAAGAAACAAAATCCTCTTTTAAAAAGGATTCCCAATTCCTTTGAAGTAGGGTGCTAGGTCTGTGTGGCAATGCTATATATGTCAATGAGATTGTTTTCCTCATTTTCTTCCTCAAGTTGGGAACAACAGGAGTTCATTTACAGATAATATTACTGAGAAGCTAGGCAGCCAAAGAGTGAATAATGTGCTCTGGCTAGCAATTGCCTCTCTCTGTTTTCATTTCTTCACAGTCTAAGAGTAGCTGGTTTTAAACAAGAGTGGCAGAATCCTCTTGTGTGTCAGGAAAAGTGTCCTTGCAGTCTATGTTTCCCATCAGTTTGTTTCTGGTAGCAATGCTAATGAATCCTCTGATATTTTTGCATATATATTTCTTGAAATTAATATAGATTGAAAAAAAAAATCAACATCTTGTAGAAACATAATTTAAAAAAAAAATAAAAACAGAAGTCAGTACAAAAAAAACAGAATGCACAGTTACTAACTCAAAAACTTGCATTCTTTAATGATGTATAATATTCTGTAGTAAATTTGTGTATTTTTTAACATTGAAGGTTCAGAGTTGTTTGCTTGGTGCACATGATACATTGTGTTTCTAAATCATTTCTACATGAATGAAACAAAGCAAACCCTTCAGACCTGTGCTTTCAAATTTTTTTTCCCAGCTGCCTTTTATTGTATCTTTCATGCTTCAAAGCACCTACATTCTATACAGCTACTTCATGTAAGCAATTTGTGCAACCTTTGCAGCTCAGGAATGCTGACATTTTGTTTCATGCCACCTTTCCTTTCCCTATGACTACCTTTACTGAGGGAGAGGAAAGGGACATTGTGACACTCGGAGGAGACTGAAATCCCCTCAGATTTTCCCGCCATAAGGGCAAAGGTTTAACGACCTTCTCTCACAATATGATTGTGTGTCAGTCTGTGAATTTCACATGAAGTCTCCAGAGACAATGAAAGGCATTTTAATACTGCTTCCATAGAGAACCTTTTTATGTTGCTACGTTAAAGAATTGTAATTCACCGGTATCACAAATTCAGGAAGCTACATCAGTGTGAAACTAATATTTGCTGTGTGTACAACATGGTATTTTCCACAAAAGTTATCGCCCTTTGTCATGGCAGTCAGATATATTAAAGTGCACCCAACTCTTCTGTAGAATTTTCAACTTTTTCACTTTCTGTGTCCTCTTCTGATGACTCGGAACTCAAGAGTCCCTGAAGAACAAAGGGTTGGTATAATGGATATCCACTATCATTTGACTAGGATGTTCTTCCATACCAGAGAATAATGATGAGAGGTTTCAATACATATATGAATCATCTCAGGAAACATTCCCAGGGTTATTTCTTAACAGTAGACTTTGTAATAAGATGTTGAAAATCTTTAAGATCTTTAACATCATGTAGTCTTCTTTAGTCTTCAGTCCACAAAAATGATCTCAAGTGTTAGGACCTAGAAACAATTCCAAATGCAGTTTTTGGTTTTGCCAGTTTCTCACCTAGATCTAGTGTCATTACTGTTGTCGTTAATGACTTGGAACTAGCATAATTAATTTCAAGATGATACTAAATCTTGGGTTTCCTGGACAGCTGACCTAACAGCTTGATGCTGCTGAAAAACAATGATCTCACTTCCCTCTCTGTGTTCGTAGCTGCAGGATGTCCTTGCCTTTGTTTGACTTTGACACTTTTTAGACTCTCCAGATTCTTTTAATTCATTCATTTGGTAGGGAGGCTTCTGGTTTTATTTGTTTGTTTTTCTCATGCTTTCTCCTGCTTCTGGATTAAATTTCATCTTGGAGCATCAAGAAGCTATCTGACAGGCTTTCAAAAATAAGGGGAATACAGTCAGCAGAGACAAGGTTTTATACTTCAGTTAAAATTAACTAGCTACATGAATGTAGGATATGGAATGTCTGGCCATGTGACAGTGTACAAAATAAAGTCTGAGTTACAGTAGATCAAGACTGTAAATGATCCAGCAAATGTCAGACAGTCACAGAAAAAAAACGGGTAGCATAATACAGCCTGCGATGCATGTACATGCAGAACATTCTTCCATCCTAACATAGTATTTGTGATGTTTAAATAGCAAATTTCAGATCAGATTTTGGCTAAAAATTTTTCTTTCACTAATAGTTGCCTGTTTTTCCTCTATATTTTCCTTTCTTCTTTACTGGCTGAAGAGGGAAGAAAGGAAATAAAGATACTTTGTATAAAGTGAACCCAAATCTTTCATGAAAACAGAGCCAAACATTTCCTTCCTTCCTTTGCCTTCACCAACTACCAGAAAGCAGGATCCTAAAGGAATTAGGCAGTTACCTAGAAAGTGACAATCCTTTTTCTGAAGTCACAGACGTGGCATAGTCTTTGATGGGATATATATATATCCCATGAAACACACATATATATAAAATTAATTAAATTAAAATATTTATAATTTATCAATTTTATATAATAATTATTATTGTTTATTAATTAAATTAAAATATTAATAAAATTTATGTATATATTTCTTTAGAAGAATTAGAAGAGTTGTCAAATAAATTTATTTAGAAGAAATCATGCAGTCATTCCTGTACATAGCTACATGAAGTATGTGTGTGATTCAAAAAGGTGATGAATTGTTTTGTAAAATGCTAAAATGTAAGATATAATTCTTATAAAAATGCACAACAGAATTTCAGAGGTAGGATTTAAGAACTTGAAATTCAGAGGTTTGAAAAAACATTTGTTATCTGATACTCTGGAATTTTTAAAGTCATCTTTTCTACGACTGCTTAACGTACATATAGGTTTTAATTTTTTTCACAATACTTATGTTAAAAAAAATAACAAGAAGTTAATTTATGAATCATTAGTGATACAGAATCTGTGAATGGGCATAATTTTTTTTTCCATCTAACTGTACTATTTCTTAGCTGTATAGTTTCCCTTCATACAGTAGACTTCAAAATAGACAAAAGTTCTGCTTCAGTTATCTTTCAGTGAAACATCTGTCATACCATTTTTTTTCTTATTTTGTCTCTATTTGGCATTATGAGTCAATACAAAAACTGTTTTCTTTTTTAAATTCTTTGGTTACCCTTCCTCTCAGTGGTTCTTTTGTCTGCAATGACAGATAGAGTTCTGTTTGTTTGTGTTTCTTGTTTTGTTTTTTAATAAAAAAGTGAGCATGGCAGCCATTTCATTCAGTTCAAGGCTTTATTGTATTTTTTTTTTTTTATTCCTAGAAATTTTCTAATGAGAATCATCCTTCCTGTTACATGTACTTGACCCAGAACATTAAACTTTAATATTTTGCTTGAGCTATAGAATCTTCCGGTTGGTGATATGAGTAATAAAGCTTTTCTACACTGACAGTTTTCTAACAATTCTTACATATTAGAAAATGCATGCCATGCGCTGAGACTTAATAAATATCTTCCAAATAATGCTAGTAAAGTAGGTAATTTCAGTTCTTAAATAGATAAAAAATACATAATAAAATTTATACAGAAGATAAATTCTGTAACATCATAAGAACAGAAACTTATAGAGCAAAAGAAGGGAAATAACATCTGCTTAGACGAACGTGGAAATCAAAAAAGCTGTATATTTCAACTATCAAAAATGCATAAATCCACAAGACATGAACATACTGAGAATGTACTTGCTGTTTCACAGCATAGCCATGCTGATTTGCCAGTACATGAGAAGTACTGGTGTAGCAGTAGTATTAAGACTTTTGTTTCGTACTTATGAGGAGTAGCATCTTACTGTTGAACAGCCCACCTTTCTGAATAGCAGCTTGTCCAATAAGCAATTAGTTATCCATACTGCTGGCATGAATGAATCTGTTCTGACAAAAATGACACGCTATAGGAATTCATAGGGTGATACAGTTACAAAGCCCAATTTTCCCTTACCACAGGCAATCCATATAGAAGAGTGACGCCTGTGTGTTTTCTGTGAATTCACCCATCAGGGGAATTCTGGGGATTGAGTTTATTCCTTCAAGGGAGAAAGCAGAGACTCAGTGCCCCATCCTTAATCATCAAATCCCCTCAAAAGGTAAGGGATGTCCATGTTCGAGCCTCTTGTTGCTGTATGATTGGGCTTCACCAGCTTTCTGGATCTTGTCCTGCTTTTTTTTTTTTTTTTTGCAGGATGCACTGTGGCCATGTGTTTATTGTTTTGAACAGCATTTTGAAATAGATACCATAAATAATTATTCCCAATATTTGCAAAACACACTCAAAGTCGTAGCAATGTATTTGTTTCCAAAACAGTTTGAATTTTTCCATTTGGCAAGCAATTGTTTATTTCTGATGAGGGTCAAATTTGTGTTTCATTTTCATTCTGGTATTTAAGCATTACTTAATTATCCTACTTATAATGAGCTGTTCTTGTTTGAAATTATGAGTAGCTAGCAGTTACCTGGTGTGTTACTTTCAGAAGTTCTTTATAATCAAAACATGTTTTTCTTGGGATTTTTTTGCTTGCTAGTGACTTATACATTATGTCAAGCAATCATTTGCACACATGCTCAGAGTCAGCGAAATAATTTTAAGAATTTTATCTAGACCTGAGATGGAAAATTTAAAAAAGTTGAGGATGTCTTTTTAATTGATAGCCCTGGCTGTGATGATATTTGCTATTATTAAAATGACCTAGTTTAGTCAGTTGAAAAAAATTCAGAGCACAGTACAATTCATTAGTGTCCTTGGAAACAAACCGCATGAGGAAAAAAACAGAATTTGCTTTTCTTGCTGCCAAAGAAAGAGGAAACAGATAGTGTTCAGAATTGTTAAAAACAAACAAAAAACAGAACACCCTAAACAAAATGTTAAAGTGAACAGGAAAGTTCTAATTTTCTGGGAATTACTCTCAAGACACTTGTACAGGTAGTTTCTTTTCTGAGTCTGAAATGCCTTTTATTCCTTTTCTTCTTGTCAGTCTCTGATGGTGATAATATAAAACAAGGTATCCAGCTGCAGGTAAGTTGAGGGATTACTAGAATGTTTGCTGTTTAGTGTCTTTACTACTACTGCCATGTCATAACTGTGAAGTAGTGATGGTAAACTAAATGCAGTAGCTAACAGTGCAGATTGCACTAGTCCATAATCTCCAGACAAGGAATGGGAAAGGTAGCCACGAATGATGCTTGTCTTTGGCGGTACTTTGTAATTATTTGTATTTTGGGAATGAAGAATAAAGCCAGACATTTGATTAAATAAGAGAGAATTAACAATAAGCAGAGAAGACAATGATTTGGACCCATATGCAGGCTGATTTTTCTCATGGAAGACTATTCTTTGCTGCTATTTAAAACAGCCTATGCTTATTGAATGACATAAATATATTTTCAATGTTTATCTCTGCAAGAAAGAAAGCTTTCTGTTCAGAAAAATATTACCATTAGTCTTCATAGTTTTCATGGTAGAAAACTAGTTGTGACTATTTAAGCACAATTTTGTATTTGAATTGAATTTTTCATACACATTATCTGATTAATAATACTACATAAAATAATTCCTATTTCTTGAATTAAATATCAGACTGCACATCGACTGAAAAAAGATTTTGTGAATATGATTTTGCATTGAATATTTATTTAGTAGTCCTTATATCCATTGACTCAGACATCCATATGATGTTTGGGTAAAAAAGTCATCATCTGAAAATTAAAAAAAATTAAAATCCTAAAAAATCCTCAAATTTTAATAATACTTTAAGTATATATGGTGTGCACATTTACTGCTTAGATTAATTGAGAGTAGACAGTATAGAACCTATTTTTTATCTTTGTGATACATGCATCACAGCTATGATTTCAGTGAAAAATAATAAGCAATTGTTGAGAATAAATCTGTAGAAACCAATATTATTATTCTGAGTGCTTTCGTTCACTGAAAGGTTTCCAGATTTCAGCTAGTCTAATATAAGGTATTTTAATAGTGTACGTCATTTTTTCCTCAACTGATTTTTTTGTTTTGGTTAAAAATCATAGTTTGATTTTGAATCTCAGATTTTTCCATGAGATACATTTTCAATTGATTTCTTTAATGGTCTTTTATTATTTTATAAATAGCATTGAACATTTTGCTGAAGCAGTGTTTCCATGGGCATCTTTTTGTAAGAATCGTCATTAATCTACAAATGGCTAATTCAAAATGAAGGTGTGATGTTGGCTTAATGTTGCTTGAATCATAGAAAACATTAATTTATTATTCATGTATTTCTGATTTTTTTTGTTGGTTTTTGTTGTTTTTGTTGGCAGCCTGTAATTCCAACCAGCCCAACAAGCAGTTCCACAACACCAACAAGTACAATGGGCATGTCCTCCAAAATGGAAAACTCAGCACTGCAGGATGTTTACATTCTTTCTCCAATGTCAGGACTTTATGGCCCCAGGTATTTAACTCCTAATGAATCTGAGCTCTTGAAAAATAAAGTTTTACACTTTAATTTCACTAGATTAGTAAAAGTGGGAAAATAATTCATCTAGATATTTAGTGAAATTATGAACTGGAAATACCTTAGACAGCATATCATTTTTTTGAGACACTTTTAACTTTGATTTGGGTAGATACAAGTTGAGCAAAAGCTGGTTTTCTCAAGTAGAAAAGCATTTAAAGAAGTTTTTCATCCCTTAGTCTTATTTACTCATGTGTCTAGCAGCTTATTTGAAAGCATGCATTTCTTCAAGGGAAAACCTTGTCACCTCATATTGCAACAATTACTGATTCTCCCTTTCAAATGCAAGAAAACTCTTGGTTAGTTATGTTTATATTGCAGTTAGAACGGAATCTAATGATTTTATTAATTTACATTTGTTGAAATTGAATTGTGTCACTTCTATGAAAGCTCTCACACACAGCAATTCAATTACCACTCGTCATTTATAGAGCTTATGATAGATAGTTGGTATGCTTTAGGTTTTTCATGAAATGGTTTATTTCCTCATGATCTTCTGGTTTACTATTTTTAGGGATGAAATTGGCATAATGTCTTGTGATGACATCAGCAAATTTGGAAAATCTGCAATGAAAGGCTCTGAGTCTCCAAATTATTTTCTTGAGCATGAAAGTGGTAAATACTACACGTTAATTGAAGGTGAAGGCCACCCTGTAGGCTCTGAATATGAGAGAAGCAGAGCTGCAGGGGTGCGGAGAAGAGAAAAAACACCCACTCACGGTAGGCTTAATTTCTTTAACATTTTCAAATTAACTGGATTTACAAGTTGTAGTATAAGTGCTACAACAGCCCTAAATATCTGCCATTCTTTGTTAGATGGTGTGCTGTTGGCTCTGAAAGATGTAAAGTCAGAGAAAACTCAGCACTGTCTTTAAAGAGACATAATTGTTTGAATAGTGTTCTATGAAGAAATTTAATACTATAAATATATTTCAGTATGTTTGAATAATGACTGTTTAAATATGATACTATTAAAACATCAATCAACTCTTGTTTACTAGAATATTTTTATGTATACCCATATAATTACAGTTATATGTATCTGTGCTTGCTTATATGTATATCTGTGTAAAAATTACTGTTGAAAATGACAATTTTCTTAGTTTATCTCTAAAAATGATCTTTCTGGTGTTTGATGAATTCTAGAATGATGCAACTGAAACATCAGATTACATACTTGAGTGTTTCAGTTTTCAGGGAAGTAAGTTGTTATTGTTCAGAATTCTACTTATTACAGAATTTTAAGATAAAATATTTATAATCAAAACTGTGATTATATGTGAATTTAGTGATGCAAATGACATGCTTTTTGTGTCTCAGAGAAAGCAGTGTTGACTGCTTTTGGACATAACGTTCCCTAAGGCTAGCTTCCATCTTCTGTCAAATATTTATGATGCCATCAATAAATACTACATCCACCAACTCTGATGCTTTTTTTTTCTCCTTTCCCTCATTTTGTTAAAAAAAAAAAACCAAACATATTTTCTTCGTCTTTGATGAAATTTTAACAGATTTTTGTTCTACATAGACTATTCTTAGTAACTTCTACAGCCATTTATTCACTGCTTGAGAGGGCTGTAACCAGGTTAACACTGAAGAGTAGTACTGCATCTTAAATACGGTAACATTGCATTTATCTCCCTGATAAGTGACATCATTTTATAATAAAATTAGAATGAAAGAGAAATATTAACTGTGATTAAAATTGGAAGCAGATGGATGGATTTGGCATGCTTTCATAGGATTGTACTACATAATGACTTCAAGTTTAAAATACTGGGCTCTGTGCCTAATCATAATAGTACACAAATGGCCTAGTTTTACAATGGAGAGTTCTATCTGATTTTCTCTAACTTTCTGACAGTGTTCTACAATCTAGTAAGAATTTGTTTTGCAAATCTAAGGATATTTTTTTCTTCTAGAATAATTGTTAAACCAAAGTATTTTTTAATGCTGAATTAAATTAATCTGATAATTAACAGCAACTCCAAATTGTTATAGTATACGTTTTTACTTTTTGACTTGAAGATGTATATTTGATTCATCAAAGTGACTGTATGTCTCTGTGGAAAGACAAGATTTCTGGTGGGTCTATGAAACATGCATCTGATGCTGGAACCAAATAGCCATGGGCTAAACAGGAAAAATGAGACTTTTGAAGTCTTTCATGGTTTAACAGATGCTTTCATTATTGCTACAACTCACACAAACTGCAGCTGAAAAATTCCTGCCAGGGATTTGCCAGAAATAAAGTGATTATTAGAAATCAGTTTCTGTTGCAGCTGGTGGTAGATGGAAGAATACTTGGGAAAATGAGACCCTCAATACTGATAATGTATGCAAAATCCATGGAGGCAAACAAGCTTCTTTTTTTCATAACATTTGTGAAAATTGATTTTGTATTTATCATGGTTGCAGTGCATTCTGTTTTTTTCAAGGCTTATTGTCTAACATTAGTCTTGGCTCTAACATACTTAGAGTTCCTGCATTTAGAGATCCTGTAGCCATGCATATCAAATCTCTTCTGTTTGTGTTGGAGAACAAGGTATCATAATCAGTATTGTTTTCTTCAATTTCTATTGTTATACACAGTAATCTTCCTGTTGTCTTATTAGTATTCAAGTTGCAATTGTAAAAGTAGTTCATAGGTTACATTTATTAAATAATTTTAAAATAGTATGCAGAATCACTTTTTTCTTCACTTGTGTGTGTTTCTCATCCTAAGTTCCTACCTTTAATGTTGATCATGCTGTGGCATCTGGGGTTTATGTGTTACAAATCTCATCATGGTTTCAGATTTTTCTTCTCTTGAACAGAATAGCTGCCAAGTTTTTCTGTGAATTTCAATTTGTTATGTGCATTCATATTCATATTCTTGTCTTGTTGACTTTTTTGTGTGTGTTTGTTTTTTAAGAAACCTATTGTACTTGTCAGCTGGCACACTTGATTTTGTGGGTCATGCAAAAATTAACCAATAATTCAAAGGTGTCTGTCTTTTGTTTTTTTGATACTAATACACTCAGACAAGGCCAAAGTGCTTATGCTTTATAGTCAGTTTTTGTAGTATTCCAAGTTTAATGGTCTGCTATTGATGTTCTGTTGATACCATAGGGGAGCACGAGTAACATACATGGAACAAAAGGAACAAAGGAACAAAACATATATCACATCCATATAGCCATAAAATCTATTTAATTAAAATTCTAGTGTCTGAATCTTTGTTGTTGTTATTAGCAAACTACACTCCATCTTTGGTTTTTAAGACATTTGAAATTAATCTTCCTTGAAACTGTGAGGCCTCACTACTTACCAAGTGTTTTTTCCTGGTCAGATAGGTTTTACTATTTAACTAGATATGTCATATAGCTGTAGTAATGATCTTTCTAGCTTAACTAAGGCTCTCTACAGCTCCCTGAAGGGAGATTGTGTTGATGCGGGAGTTGGCCTCTTCTCCCATGTGATAGGACTAGAGGGAATGGCCTCAAGTTGCACCAGGGAAGATTCAGGTTGAACATTAGAAAATGCTTCTTGGAAAGAGAGTGGTCAGAACTGCCCAGAGAGGTGGTGGGGTCACCGTCCCTGGAAGTGTTCAAGAAATGTTTGAATGTTGTACTGAGGGACATGATTGAGTGGGAAGTACTGGTGATAGGTGGACAATTGGACTGGATGACCTTAGAGGTCTTTTCAACCTTGGTGATTCTATGATTCTAAATCAGACACTTTTAAAATTATTTTTTTATTCTAAAAGATCTATTTAATGAGTGAGCAAGATTTTCTGGAAAAGAACTTCAAACTACTTTAAATTTACAAGTAATTTCATCAGAATCATTGGTACCTTCCTTCTTATAATGAAGAGGATAATCTTACATCTGCCGTGTTTAACTGATTCTGAATGTTATAGCTTAAATATATAGGTGCTGATAAAAAGATTTCTCTGAAGGCTTATGTCATGCCTCTGATGTGCAGGCATTACTCATTCTACAGCCTGCTATTTATGATCTTCAGAAATCATATTGGCTCACCTTGATTTACTTCCAGGTGATTTAAGACCTGTTTCAATGCCTACTGACTACAGTTGGATAGGGGAATCAAAGGAACAAAACATATACAAGAGAGGAAGCCGTGGTGAGTTTTTTTTCTCTGCTGTTCCCGGAGGTTTTTTTATAATCGTTTTTTTTCCCCATTTAAGAACCAGAAAGATATCATCACAGAACTAAATCTAGCTTTCTTGATGGCCACAAAAAATAGGCTGTACTGGTACAGTACAGTTTGTATCAGCACAAGGCTTTTACCTTTAGTATAATGACAGATAAACACCAAGGGGGAAAAAAAAACACGTGAGATTTAGATACGTGCTAATATCAATCAGTTCTTGATCCATACAGTTCTGCAAAATAAGTGATAAGAATTAAGATCTGAGAATAGGACTTTCCTGTTGATCTAATTTCTGTTCTTTTGATTATTTTTTTAATTCTGAAATATATCCCCCCAAAAGTACATTTCCTATTAAAATAATTTTAAGAAATACAACTGCAAATGTATTCTATCAAACTTTTTAACAAAGAATGTAATTATGCCTGTGTTTTCAGTCCTTAACTTTAGATCCATCAAATTGATTTCAGAAAGAACTTGAAATATTAACATTTTCTAATTAACGATGCTTGTTTATTTTATAAGTTAACTGTCATCTCTTAGGATGGTTCAAATAATAATTTGATTTAAAAAGCAGATTTGATTCAAAGCCTTGGAAGTATACTGTGAAATCCACACTTGAAACTTCAAAAACTAAGTTAGGTACATGTTTTACTGATTAAAAGTTATTTTTAATGAAGATTCTTCTGTAAAGTTTGCTTAGATTAAAGAAGTACCCTGTAAAGATGTCACTGTTGTGGCTGACAGCTGAACATAAATGATGAGCAGTCCATTGAAAAAGTCCAGTTAAATTTAAACAATGCTAAAGAAAACACAGTATTATCTGTAGGAGCAAAAATCCAGTAGGAGATGGAAAGCATAGGCCCTTTCACTGATGACTAAGAAAAAAATGAAAGTAAGTAAGTAAATCTTAAATTATTAGAAGTGCAGCCTATGTAATGTTACCATGAGATTGGTGCTATGTTCTGCTTTGAGGCCAGATGACTGGGATGTATTTGAGTTCACAGCAGTGAATGCAGTGAGACATTGCAAAAGTTTTGTGGCGATTGTCCAGTACAGGAGATATCTAAAAGTAGGCTGGATAATCACAGATGCCATTCAGTTTAAACTGTTGTAACCAAAATCTGTTTTTAAATCAAAACTGTCATTCAAAATGGCATGTCAAATACTGTAAAAATGACATTGACTCAGAAATTAGGTGCAGAAAGATTAGAAGTGTGTATGCATATAAGCTAATTACAAAGGCATTTGACATGCGAATGATGTACCCTGGAAAGAACTCCCAAGATTCGTGCTGTGTGTTTTAATGACTGCAAAGCATGAAAAGTACTGTCATTTGTTAACACACTCAAGGATGGCATACATGACTCTACTGTAGCTCAACTCCACTTGTTGATTGCGTAATTATCCCTAACTTAACGGCACCTTACCCACACTGTAAATCATTTTGTGTGTTTATAGAGTGCTACTGCTGTAGATTTTAATGATAACGTAAAGTGTTAATTCTGTCTACTAGGATATTCTGTCTTCTATGTCCTTTCTAAATATAGGTGATTTTTCTTAAACCAAATTTATGTGTAAATGGCTCCCTGTAAATAGTTCTGTAGTCCTGAACATGAAGTGTTGTTTGGCAACTCTTTCACTGAGATGATAGAGTGATTTACAGGAGGAGGAATGCACAGACTGGTCTGTTTTGAAGACTTAGGGTTGAATTCCTAGATTCCAGGATTTATAAAGAAATGAAAAAGAGATTTTTAAAAGGTTCCTTTCCATATCTCATCTCTAACTGTCGTGTTTTTTTAATGGGGAAAAAAAAAGTGTTAACATTTGTATTTCATTTTATTGTATTGTTTTGTAGTTTAGTGGAACGCTATACATTTAATAAAGATTGTTCCCCATGGCAGCCAATATTTTGTGTAAATGTAAAAACTGAAAAATCAGCTGTTCTGTATTTCCCTTGAGCTTAAACACACCTCATATAACATGTTGAAACAAGCTGTGCGTTTGAGATATCATAGTGCAATATTTATTGTAAACTTATGTAAGATTAAAATAAACTTGTCGTAAAGGAAAGCAAGGTTTTGTATTTAGCTGGTAAGTTGCCTTAGCAGTTATGATTGTAGGAATGAAATCCAGATTCTCTGTTCTGTCTCACTTGTATTTCTTTTCACTTTTTTCCATCCAACCACTGACTCTGAGAATTCACTTCTGCGGTACCTGAGTGATGATAAGATATTGGTTATCCAAGAAGAGCCTTTGACACAGAAAGACAGCAAAAGAGACACAGGTCGTAGGTCAAGAAAAAAAGGCAAAAGTGCAAGCAGTCCAAACTACCCTATTAGTCCATCTGTGTTGACATCTACTGTTAACGTTAGGCTTGAACCAGGACAGCAAGAAATCTTGAATTTCGCGCTAGCAGAAAATAATACTGTTCCACTTTACCACGTAAGTACATAACGGAATGTTATTTAATTGTATTTATTAATTTTATTGATTACATGGAAAATCATTAAAACATTTTCCTTTAAGGACTGATAAGGTATAAAGGCATATTTTTTTACTTTATATTTTAATACTGTGTTTTGTGGTCCAAGAATTTTCATAATGCTCATATCAAGACAGCTTTCATAGAAGAATAATTTAGATGGAAAAATGCATAGCAAGCACCACTGGATGTGAGACGAGATGCTTTACGTAAGGTAGTGCATTTGACCTTTTTCTTTTTTTTTTTTTTTAATGATTCATAAGGATCTCAAGCTCTGATAACAATTACAAATTACTTAAAGTGACCATGTATCTAATTTAGTCAGCATGTCTTTTAAAAACAGACTTAAGCTTATTGTTTAATTGTGATACCATGGCCACAGTCCAGTAATATGAATTTGTTCATTATAATAATACAGAAAATATTTTGTAGTGAAAACTGTGGATTGTCACTAGCCTGGAAGCAATAAACTTGGAATAATTGTGTCTCCCAGATGAACAGCCAGTTCTCGTAACTACAATGAAAAAGTTCCCGCAACTGTCAGCTAGTACAGAATTTTGGTGTTGCTTCAGATGACTAGAAATGAATAGCCTTTCAGAGATCAATTTCATTATTCATACTTTGTATGTGTATCTTGCCTTCTTCATGGTCCTACCATTTCGGAGCAGACCACTCCATTCTTTTGATACCACAGAGTGGTATCTTCAAAGGTTTGGGGGCTCAAATCTTAATGAATTCAAGGCAGTTTTACTAAAAGAGCAGATTTCTTCCCCACAATCAATGTGGAAGTTTCTTAGGGTGTATTTATTTTCTAATCTTGGTGAACTTCATTTTGGAAGTAGTAGAAGAAAACACAGGTGTTGTAGCAAGTTTCTTGATACTCTTTTGCATTTGGGGGCTTTGATGGTGTTTCTCTCCCTAAGCAAAATCTTGGGAAAGTATTCTATTTTCATCAAGACTGAGAGGTGAGTAAGCTTTGCCTAAGGGGATACATTCAAACATAGCCTGCTATTCATCTCTGTTTCCTGAAAGCTGCCAGAATTTGGTATTTTGAAGATCAGATATTTTCCTTTTGTTGTGAGGTAAATGTAAGTTTCCTTTTCCTATGCCAATGAAACTTAGCATTTTTGAAAAACATAGGGTTTCCCCAACTTTGGAGAAAGTCAAGTAGTTTATAAACCAAAATATATGACTGTCTGTGGACATTTGTTTCTTGCATCTGTAAACTCTTACACAGATTACTGGGATCAGAGAGTCAAAGGAAAAGGATTTCAAATCCAGAGAAAAAACTGTCATCATCTAGTTTGTTAAGAGTGAGAAAATCATTGTGCAAATCTGCAAAAATAAAACAGAACAGCGTGTCATAACTCTGCAAATGTTTCTCTGTAAAGACTCCCATTGGAACAGTGAAAGTCTCTTGACTCACCTGACTTCTGAAGAAAGGGAAATGGGTTATGTGGGGTAAATTGCTGGCTGAGTTTTAAATAATGATAGTTGCTGGTTAAGTTCCGAGGCCTGTTGTCATACCATTTATCATCATCAAAGCAACCTCATTGCATTCCTGTTTAAGGCTAATGTGTGGTACATATTCACACTTTTCCCAACACAGTCATATAAATGTTGTGTTCTGAACAGCAATTTGCCAATCACTTTGCCGAAAAAAAAAAAAAAAAGCACATCACAGAAGTATTATTTCATTTTAAAAACTGCAGTAGTATAATATGTAGTTATAAATAATTATTGACCTTTTTTTTCTGTAGATCAAGGTGAGTAGGAGCAGAATTCTTATGCTGTGGCTTTCATTTTGTATTAAAAGAACAACATCATTTTAAAACAAAGATACTAACCTAATATGATATTGCAGGATAACAGAAGTACGAAAACATAATCTAACAGCATAACATGTCAGCTTTAAAGGGTTTGAATGTAATGGTGGTAACTGAAGAAAAAAGGCATCCTTATCATGGGAGCACATAACATTACATTCTGTGGTTGGTCTACACCAAAAGACTGTTCAGTACCAGTCACATGAAGTCTATTACAATGTGTGCTTACTGAGGATGACACCTGGAAGAGTCACTTGCAGACACAGTGGTGTAAATTCTTCTACCAGTCTAAGTGTTTCAAACAGCATTTGAGTCACAGCTTTGCAGTTCTTCAGGAGAGAGTCAAAGGAATCAAAATATCTCAAGCAGTCAACTGCCTTATAAGTATAAGAGAGGAACTGAGTCAACAAAGATACAAGAGTTGCTGACATGGGTTTTCTGGGTTCTTGACAGTATAGGATCATTTTTATGAATGAAGTCTTTCCACTTTGAATATTGAAAGAATTCTGAAAAGTGAAGCAAAAAATTGTGAAAAATAGCTACTCAGAATGAAAATTTTAAGTATCAAAGAACATTTAATGACATTTTGACAGAAAAAGAAAAATATATTTCTATCTAGAATTAGAAATTAGGGTTTAAGTAGATCACGTTTCCTTCATGTTCATTTATTTATTTATTTATTTATAAGTATTTCAGTGTATTTATTTAGGTGATGAGATTTTATTCAATTGAGAATTTACGATTAGTAGGACTTAACAGGAGATATTTCAGAGCTTACCTAACCAAATTACTGTTAAACAGTTGTTGCTAATTCCTTTTTTTTTTTTTTAAATAATCATATCTTTGATTCATCTTAACTTTCCAATTAATTTCTTGTCTTTCGCTTCTTCTTGGATGTTGGGAGGCAGAAGACAGAAGCAGTTTGTTTTCTTATGAAAGTCAAAACAACAGAACTGTTGTAATCAAATTTCCATCTATGTTTAACATATGTCCAGAATTTGAGGATGGAGATCAAAATTTTATCCAGGCAAATGCTTTGGAAAATTGAGATAATAATGAAAGATAAGAGCTCCATCAACTTCCCTCAGTAAAAATGATTGTGTCTTGTGAGCAAACAAATGCAGCACAATGAAAAGAGAAACTTGAGATCACAGAATCACAGAGTGGCCTGGGTTGAAAAGGACCACAATGATCATCCAGTTTCAACCCCCTGCTATGTGCAGGGATGCCAACCACCAGACCAGGCTGCCCAGAGCCACATCCAGCCTGGCCTTGAATGCCTCCAGGGATGGGGCATCCAAAGATAGATAGACACTATCATTTAGTCATTGCTTTATTCTTTAAGCATACTTACACAAATATACATACATTTAAAAGAAGAAAAAAAAAAGAGTTCAGATTACCAGGCATAGATGTAAGAAATTTTACAAAATCCGTAATTGCATATTTGCAGAATTAGTTTAATGCTTTGGAACTAATATGGATTTGGAACCTAAAATTAAATAATCAGACTGATTTCATAAGCTGAAGTGAGGATGCAGAATTACTATATAAAATGGGTATATAGGTAGTATAATACTGGCTGTTTGCCCAACATACAAAATGATCTACAAAGCCATGATGCAGTAGAAATTACTGATAGGAAACACTGCCCATTTCACTATATATTTGTTACTAACTTAGTTGGTAGGCAGTTCTGTGATGCACATCGCAGAAACTGAGGTAAAGCGAGTTACAATTAGCAACGCTGTAATAATTAATGATAGATTACTTCTTGGAACATAACTTCATGGTTTTACTAATCCTCTTCCGTAGGGACATTTTTACCAGTTTAAACAGAAGTAATAAGGCATATGTAAATATCACAAAATTTTTTATATGTAATAGCGTTGCTGAAATATTGTATAAAGTGCATTGTAATACACTCTGCACTTATAAGAATAGAAGTGAAATTTGAATGTATATATATATTACTAGGTTTCATTCTGAACAAAATTAATTAAAACAACAACAACAACAAAACTATGAGATATATTTTTCATTCCATATTTTTTCACCATAAACCAAAAGGCAAAAGGTCTTGAATAGAGAACATTTTTCTGTCTTGAAAGTTTGCTGCTCAGGATTTTAAAAATCTCTAGCAAACTCCACATTTTCTGCTGGTCAGTTCCATTTCACACTATGGGGATCAGCTCTTGTCTAAAAGAAATAATGGAGTTCTTAGTCCAGACTCAATCTGAAAATTGATATATTGTCCAACTTCATGGTTTTAATGCTTCAGATTTGAAGTTCCTTCTGAAGCTCTGAAATTCAATCCTTTGGATACTAAATTCTCATGTAAGGTAATGAATGCCCATCTGTATTATTTGATGACAGATGTTCTGGACTATTGTCTACAAAGTAGCTGAGAATTTTGTTTTGTGGTATATATTAAGAAATTGGATTACAAACTGTTAAATCATTTAATTTTTTTGTGAATTAAAATTTAGTGTAAAAGACAATTTTTAAACAAATTTTAAGATATATTATTTCAATACAGCTTTCTCTACCTAGTAAACCAAATAATGGCTGCAATGGGGTAGTGATTGGGAATATTACAGCAGCAGAACCATTTTAAAGATAATTTGAAGCATTATAGTAGTGTAGGATTAGTCATTGTTTCACAGTGATTGCTAAACTTGCTATTTAATTTCCTGCTGCTGATGACACAAAGTTGGCAGTTTATGCCTTTTTTCAGCATTGAATAATGTAAATGCTATCTGACTGTTCTTGGAACTGCAGAAGGCAGCTCCACAAAAGACATAAAATTCAGTGGTACATGCTGAGAACTAAAATGTATGCAGAAACAACGCAGATCCTCTTTTTTCTGTAACGTATGCATGCTGGGATGTGCCAGATGTTCCAGATGTTATTCTGGATGGTAAGTAGTCTGAGTACTACGATAAATACAATAATCAAGGTAATCTGGGAGAATCATGTATTCAGCTCCATATGACTGAAGAAGGAGTCTTTTATTGCCAGTTTTGTAGGAAAAGTACTTCCATTTTATTTCTTCCTTTCTGTTGTTGGAAGAAAAAAAAAAAAAAAGGTTGTCAACTGTCAAAAAATGAGTTTCTTCACAGGTAACTTCTATC